TTGGGCCCAGATGCCCAACTATAATGGAGACAATGAAAGCAATTCAGCAGCCCTGGTTTACCTCATCTAATGCCAGTCCAAGTATTCCCAATAATTAGGCCTTTCAGCCTGGAAAGGCTGGAGCCACAGCTGCTTCCTATTTTCCCCAAAGCTGTACAGAGCATTAGTCATTTCACTGGGGTTTTTTATTACCGCGACTACAGCCCCGTAAGTGTGCCGCCAAAACCCAGACAAGCCAAACCAGCCTGGATTCAGAACGTACTTTGGGAGCTTGAAATGTTCTCCTGTCCCCCTTTCTGAGTCCTGGTTTTCCCTCCCCAACCAAACAGCCAGAGTCTGCCTGAAGAAATGTCCTGCTAGGTCTGGGCTCCGTACACGGGCCAGGCTGACCAAAATGAAGCACTGATTGCTGGCACTTCCATCCCAACTATTAATCATTAACCAGCCTTGGGAGTGACCTTGACACTTAATTAGTCATCTAGTCCTTCCTGAAGGCAAAGCTTTTCCCCACACTGTGCTGGTGGGAGAGGGGATAGGGACTGTGTTTAGCAAGCGGGAGAGTTGCTGTGATTCTGGCAGTGCATGAAGGGGAGTGGGTGTAACAGAGACACACCTGCTTTTTTTGCCTAAGTTGTGATGGGAAGGCTTTGCTTTTAGCTCTGGAGGCTCCAAGTTGTCCTGACAGTAGCATCCAGTCAAGAGGCCAGCCACTGATGTTCTGTTTTCAAGTCCTCTGCCCTCAGTCAACAGCAGCATTTGTTCTTTGCAGCTTAATTTGTAGCATCTTAACCAAGGGGTGATGACCCAGCAGATCAGCTGCAAGCCAGAAGTCGCCTTTCCTACACAGTGGCCACCTATCAGCCGACCTTCATGGTGTGAACTTTTCTCCTCTTTCCGTGGAGAGAGTCCCTGGAAATGGTGGCAGTAGGACAGCTGGTCCTGGAAGTGGAAATGGTGTAGCTGAGTGTCACTAATGCGGAGGCAAAGAGGTGAACTACCCGTGCCTCTCCTCCCTTCACAGGTGAAGCTGTGTCTGGGTACAAGGAAGCAAATGTCCATCCCCATAACCAGTTATTTTCCCCTGTGAATTCCTGCCCCAGAGGTGGTTGACTCACACTTCTCGCCAAATTGCATTTCACCTGGTGCTGGGCAAAACTGGTTTGACCGAGGCAAGAACTGCCCCAGACAGTGAACCTTCCAAACCTCTTAACGGCCCCTTTTTTACTTTTCTCTTTTTAAATTAGAAAAGTGTCTGCCCTTCCTGGTTTCAGAACAGATGGGAAGTTTTCACTCCATTAATACTGGATTTTATGTCTGGACAGGAGTTGAATTATGGGATCATCTGATTAAAAACCCACATTAAATCATTAATGAAATGAGCTGCTCGATTATATAAGTCATATTCCTATTATTTCTGACTTGGCCACCGGCTGAAAGAAGCTGGAAAGTCCAAAGAAACAGCCAACCTTGACTGTGATTCACACTCCCCCAGCTAAATTGCTGAGGAGGAAGGGAGGGACAGCATTTCCCAGAAAAGTGAGGACCAACACTAATGGGCAAGTCTGAGACAGAGAAAGGAGCCCCAGGAGCCAGGGAGATCCAAGGTCCCCGTTTTGAGTCAGAAGGGTTTGATTGGGAACCTGCTGGCTGTTTTTCAGAGAGTTTTGTCCAACACAGTTGCCTGTAGTCAGAGGAATCCCAGTATCCTCCGGGTTAACTTTTCCAGGAGAGGCTGGGGTGCTGGGGGAAGCAGGGATATCCAGCTGTGTCTCACAGCTGGCCAGCTGCCGCTTCCCTGCGCTGTTCCCAAGCAGGATGCCTGCTCCTTCCACAGGGAGCAGTGTCGGTGTGGCTGAAAAACTTCACTCCCTCAAGTGTAAACGTCTTCTTCACTGGCTTTGTTTTCAGGTTCTGCCTGTTTTGACGCTGGAAGGAAAAACCCTAAATAAATTAAAAAGATAGCTGAGGGGAGGAGGCTTCGCTTGGGTTTTTCTTTGATAGGGACCTTTTGAATGCAACATTAAAAGAAAGGAGAGGTCTTTTGGTTAAGGGTCTGGACTGAGATCATGTTTCTGGCTTCTGTTCCTGATAGCCCTGGACTCCACAGTAGGTGAGTCAGGATGCCATCCAGAACACTGTATATCTCATCTCCTCTGTGGACACTGAAATATCTTCCTGGATCTGATGTGTAATCTGTGTGGGTCTCAATTACCTTTCTGGGAACTGAGGCAAAAAATATCTTTTTTTTGTCCTTGCTATTTGTTTTCTTGCCTGGAAGGTATCTGGAGGACCTGAGAGGGAGATGAAAGTTGCTGAATGTGCCCCTGCTAGGGACACAAGGCTACATAGATTCAGTCTTCAAAAGTCCTACAGACCTATCTGTGTTCAGGAAGGAGTGAGCATGTCTGACTCTTGTTACCAGTGCTGCCAGACTGTGGCTCCCTGCTCAGTTAACAGAGGGGTGTTGGGGCTGTGCTCAAAACATCCCTGGAAATCCCTGCATCTTCCTGTGCAAGGAGCCAGGATGTGGCAGCTCTGGGCTGTGGAAGATCTGGATGGACCAATGTTCCTACATAGAACAGCAATTTTTGTGCTCTTACTTAGTGTGCAAACTCTTCAGGACAGCCAACACTGCTTATGGCTCATGGTGCCAAGTGCAGCACATCTCTCCCTTCCCTTGTAAAACAAACAATAAATACGCCTTCTGGCAGGGGACCATCTGTCTCTGTCCTTCCCCTCCTTCGGAAGAAGCTGCTTCCATGGCTTTGTGCAATAGCTTCCTTTATCTTCCATCTCACCGTGGCTCAGTGGCTGTGCCACGTTGGGCAGCCATGGATAGCTCTGTTCCTTCTTGTGGGTAGCTTCCTACAGCAGAGCAGAGGAGAGCAGGAGAGGCCATGGCCCACAGTCAGTGCAGCCTTTTCATCCCAGGACAGAGCAGAAAACGCAGTCAATCGAGTTGTTGTTTTTGTTTTTAACACAGCACAATCGTTCGGTCTGTCATGAGCAAATGCAAGTCGAGGGCACTGACAAATGAATGCAAGGCACAGGGATCAGTGAGCCGTGTGTTCTCTCGAGGCTGGGCCTTGATTTGTAAGCAGGATTGACTCACAAGGGAAAGGCTGGTATGGGTCTTGCCCTTATGCAAACACAGCCTGTCCCGTGGCTGCTGCAGCAGAGTTGAGCTGCTCGGGGGGCACTGGCCATGCCCTGTGGGACAGCCAGCTCTGTTAGGATACAACTCCATGTCTTCATGTACATTGGTTTGGGATTTGATTTGCTTCAGGAGGTTGCTGTGTAAACAAGCTGGGTTCAGAAGTTGTTTCTTGAGCAAAAGCTCAGCAGTAGGAACAGGGGGCATAGCTAAGGGTGAGAAAAGGTCCTCTTTTCTCTGCTGGAAGACATGAGGATGGATGGGAGACCTCCACCCACAAGAGAGGCACCAAAACCATCTCAAATGTTCCCAGACACCCTTGTGTGGGCAACCTGAAACCTACCTCTTCCCCATACAGGCAGCAGAGCTTAGGAATCTGCAGAGCTACCTGTAAAATAGACATCTTGGTCATGGACTGGGGCGCTCCATGTGCTCTGCTGACTGTGCTGGCGGTGTCTCCACTGACCTTCATGGAGCTGAGGGCCTGGTGCCCTGCCCTGAGATACCTGAGATACCTGAGATACCTGTCTTAATGTAGACCTGAATCTCGTCCTGAAGAAGAAAGGTTACATTCCCCGGATTCCCAGTGCCCCAGGGCCAGGAACCTGCCCTGACCTCCAGCCACTGGTCCAGGAGGTCTCCTGGAGGGCTCCTGTCACAGGAGAGGGGAAGGCTTAGACAAAGTTTTAAAGAGTAGAGCCTTGCCAGTGAGTCTCGAGGTGCAGAAAGGATTCCCTTGCTTTCTAGACTCCTTCTCAGGGAAGGGTTTAGGTCCGGCTGAATCCCATCTTTGCCCCGGACTGCGTTAACGGTTTAAATTTAAAGGAATTATAGAGGTGTGATTAAACTGCTTTGTCCCACAGGTTTTAATGAAGGCAAAACAGAAACTGATTTATATAAATGAATTATTTATTATGACAAATTAACAAACAGGTGAACAGACAAAAGATCCTAATCAGAATTATTTACTACGCAGTGTGAAAGCAAAAAAAAAAAACACCTCAAAATCTACTAGTAAAGTGTTATGTAACAAAGTAATATAGTGCACTGTAAAACAATTATATTAAAGCAATTGTATCGAAGCTAGCAAAAGAAACAATCATTAAGTAGAGATTGATATAACTCACTATATGGGATAACGGGCAGATCTCTCTCTTAACCCCTGGGGAGTAACCATGAAGAGGCAGGAGAGGCTCCACACTTCAAGGAAGTATGTGGAAGAATCTGCTATATGGAAGTTTTATAGTTGTGATGATGGACTGGTAGTCAAAGATTTACAAGCTCTCAGACTCGCTTATCTGTCACATCTTGTTTCAAAAAAGGATGCATATTCTAAGTCTGGTGAATCAGGATGGTTTTAGCATAACTTAACACCAAGACAGTGACCTGAGCCTGGTGCCAGCAGCTGAACTTGCGTGGTAGCTTGCATGATGGCCTGCATGATGGCTTGCATAGTATGCACTATTGGATTTTAGGTCTGTCCAGGGTGGACTATCCTGCCACACCTCCATCCCTCATGCCATGGTGGGAATAAAGCAGTACTGAGGTCAAGTCCAGCACTCTGGTGAATCCTTTCTGCCTATTCACATTGGAGGAAAATAATCCCCCACCAAAACAGCAGCATCCTATCCAATCTTTCCTGGGCCCCCCATGAGCATGGATAGCCTGGGAATGGGGGTTCATCCCACTTAACTGTTGATAGTCATCAGAGAGAAAAAGACACATCGAGGTGTGAGTGATCTGTATTAAACCTCCAGTGAGTCAGAGGAGCCCAGCTGACCAGCACACCTACTGCTGTATCCAATTATATAGTTATTTTGGTTTTTCTTCTTCCTTCGCCTTCCAGCTCAGACCGCAGGATGACAGACAGTGACACAAATCTCCCAACCATCGAGAGGAAGCTGGGACTGCAGATATGGGGCATAGAGGTATGACAAGGGGCAGTGATGGCACATGTCCTCTGCATGCCTGGGGGGTGTTTTATGGAAGAGGTATTCTTGAAGTAATCTGTGTGGGAAAAGAGGGTCTTACAGATAAGATACAGTGGGAAATAGAAGACCCAATGTCTCCCTATGAAACTTTCCACATGTTATTGTTTTGGTTTCCTGCTCTGTAAAACGGGGATGATAACATTGACTAAGGAAACAGGAATGTGGTGAGACTGAAACTCTTCCTCCAGCACCAGAGGGCTTTTCTTGCTTCTTTTGGGAACCAATGCAAGACTGCTTTAGCACACCAGAAATTCCCTGTTTCACCAAGAAGATGGGTTATCCGTAGGTAGCCTTAGTCGATACCAGCAGCTGCCACGGGGAAGACACTTATTTTTGTGACAAAGGCATTCCATGGTGCCTCTTTTTACATCATTCTTGTCTTCCTTACTCTGGGTCACTGCAAGGAGAAATCCTGCAACCTCTGAGTTCACCTTCTGGTTGTGGAGGTGTTTGATTTTGGATTGGAGCTGGGCTGTGCTCAATTCTGCCTCTCTCTGTCCTAATTCACCAAGAACATTGGAACCATTAACCTGCAATGAGAGTGGGTATAGACTGAGGTGCAAAGTCCACTCAGGGGAACAGTGGGAAGGGGATCCAACACATTTCAAAATGGGAGTTCCAACTGTGTTCCAAATGTCACAATCTTTGCCTTTCCATTTCTCTCCAAAGCGCTGCACTAAGCTGCTTTCCAGAGGATCTGTAATTAGAGCCATGTGGGTTCGCAAGGGTCAAGCTGGTATGCTGGGAAACAAGTCAGGACACCAGAAGAATGCATATCTCTAATTTCAGGGAACCACAGGGCCAGTTCCAGCCCAGGAGCTGAGCGTGGACTAGTGGGTGGCACATCCAGGCACCTGCACTGGGCAGGCATGGCTGGATAATTATGCACTTGAGCCAGAGGAAGTGTGCAATTAGGGTCTGGAGGGGTGAGGGGCGCATCAGTGTCCTCAATTCTGCCTTTCCTCAGCACTGCTGGTTCATCCTTCTCCAAACCCTGATTGTCACCTGAGTGTTTTGAACACCTCAGCTGTCCTGTTTCACACACATCAGCTTCTGGCTCTTAAGTTCCAGCAATGACCCAAACACTGATTTCCTTACAGAATATGAAGATGGTTCCTGTACCTGAAAAGGCTTATGGGACCTTTTTTGAAGGAGACTGTTACATCATTCTGCATGTAAGTAAGACTAGCAAACACTGGTCTGTGTTAGGCAGCTGGTCCAGCCCTTTTTCTTTCGCTCTGACTTGGTTCCTAGGTACCCTCTCTGATGGCAAAAGCACTGTGGGTTAAAGTGGTTGTGCACCTGTGTTCACCATCTAATCATGGATATGAACTGAACGTGGCTGTTGCAACAACACTGTCTGTTTAGTAAACCAGAAGTACGGGGGAACCATTAACTTAGCAGTTCATTAAAAGTGTTTATCTTCTAATCAATTCAGTCATGCCCAGGCATGGAAGAATGGCCAGTGCATTCCTGGCAAACTGAATCAAGGCCCACATTTGCATGATTTATGGGAGTCCTCTGGGGATGTGAGAGGTGGCCAGCTGGAGGGTCTCATTTTCAGCAGGTATTGTGAGATATGAAGGTGCTCCATGTCATGTGTCATGTAAGTAGCAGAGAGGCTCTACAGCCCTTCTCATGTCCCCATTAGGACATGTCATTAGTCCCACCCAAATTTGGTCCAGACCTGCTTGCAACCAGCTGAACCCAGGTTAGGCAGAAGCATGAGGGACTTCTGAGAACCAACCCTGCTCTGTGGGCTGTGCAAACTGCCTTGTGTTTCTGAAGTTCAGTGGGAGGATGATGTGTTACACCCACCTCCTAGGATTCCTTCCAAATCTCTTCATCTGCACAGAGCAATCCAGGTCCCATTGTATCAAAAAAACATCCACATGGTGGAAACCAGAAGCATTTCCCACTTCCTGGGTCTGAGTGTCCCTCCTGCAAACATCCCCTGTCAGTGAAGAGACAGCAAGGCCTCCACTACCCCACAATAACCAAGTGCACATCTGCTGTATGTCAGGCTGGGATGGCACCACAGGATGATCTGCTCAAATTCACCATGCACATGCCTTTATGAGTGCTAAATCGATTTGGTTGCAGCCACCCAAAGACATGCTTAGAGCAGGATATGGGTGACCTTGCAAGGAGCTGTCAGTATAAATATGGATTTTGATGCTCACAGGCTCGGCTTCTGTTGCAACAGCTTCCCCAGGTAGAAGAGCCCTTAATTAGCCCAATAGCCTCTTTTACCCCTGAAGACAGGAAGGTAAAAATACTCATCTGTGAATTCTGCTTCTTCACTGGAGTCTCTCCAAATAAGGATTGTCCTCAGGACAATGGGACTTTGATCGTCTTCAACAGCAATGTATTGAACGGAGCAATTTTTCCGCAAATTAATTATCTATGCCTGAGGAACTGAGCTGTATTTTATTTAAGTTCTTCTGCTGTGTTTCACTGTGTGCACAAAGCAAATAAACAGAACTCGGTGTCAAATCCAGCTTACAAAATGAGCTTTTATTGCCTTTCCCAGGCATCCACGATGGGGTTTAACACAGTAGGCGCTGAAAAATAACTGGCACAGCTCATGTAACACTAAGCACACCTGTTCCTCAGCCCCCTTGCCTCCTTTTTCTAGGCTGTTGGGTTTTTCTGTAATAAGATGAATCTCAGCATGCACACACCAGCTCAGCTTCGTTTGGAGTTGTGTCTGTTTTGCAAGTCAGCAGGAATTCCGATGCAGTTTGTCTTGCTACGTCGTGTGATACATGAGAAAGACAACAGGAAAGAAAGGGTAGTATCTCCAGGCAAATAAATAGGAGTGTGCATTACATTTCAAAAGGTGATCCATGAGAAGAATCTGCTCTAAGTTTTAGTATAAAACTCCACAAAAGTGGGACAGGTTGAACGCATTAATTTTTGTAGTTGCACAGGTCCTCGGTTTTCCTCGATAAAGAGCTATGAAAGAATATCAGACAGAAACATCCTTCGGTTCAATATGTACCCAAAATCCATAAATGCTCTCCTAATTAAGGAGAGCTCCAGGCCGAGCTCCCAAGGAATATCTGAGGCTCCATCCTCTCTACCCTTGCCCAGGAGAAGGGCACAAGTAGGAAAGAGCTCTGTGTTCACTTGGTTCTGTCAGGTCTCCCTGGCCAGTGATATTTGAGACACACATATGTGGACTGTGAGTTCATCCTGACTTGTCTTTCCCACCTCTCCCAGACCAAAAGAACCTCTCGTGGCACTGCTGTGGATTTGCATTACTGGATTGGGAAGGATTCCTCCCAGGATGAGCAGGGGGCTGCAGCCGTGTACGTCACCCAGCTGGACAACGCGCTCGGGGGGAGCCCTGTGCAGCACCGGGAGGTCCAGGGACATGAGTCTGAGACCTTCCAGAGCTATTTCCGCAACGGCATCATGTGAGTAGCTCAAAATACCCTGCAGCAAGGTGGGTTGTGGCTTTTCTACATCTCAGAGACATCAGCATTTCAAAAAAACCTGAATAAAAGGGTATCGGCACCGAAGCTGGTTAAAATTCAGAACAAAAGTTTCCCGTTTTCCAACAATTGTTTGTAACATTGAGTCTGGAATCATGTCTCTACTGGTCATTTTCCCAGATATTTTCAGTAATTGCATCTTAACCTCCCTCTTGTTCACCCTGGGGTCTTCCTTCCTCTCCTCCTCGCATTTTGGATTAAAGTGCCCATTCAGGGCACTTCAGACTAATATCCACCTTGAAGTGCTGATTTGGCTCATACTGGGAGTAATATTCCTGCAGTGGAAGGAAAGTTTGACTCTGAACTTCTGTAATCTAAAAGAATCTAATCTTGTGGTCTTTGTTCATGCTGGGGTTGTTGGAAGAACTCCAATAGCTCTCCTCCAGAAGGGTCTTCTTTGGCAATAAACAGCCTAAGTACCTTGATTTTAAACAGCTGAAAAAAATTCAGATGAAAACCCATCCTGAGTCAATACCTCCATCCCAGTCTGGCTTTTGAGATACCTCTGCTTTGTGGATTTCTACAACCTCTCATGAGTTTCCTCAGAACTTTTCTGAGACAGAAAAGTGCTTTTAACCTCGTCTAGGGATGAGTAAGGAACAATGAAGGACTGAAATTCAGACCTTCATAAACAGTCTATTTGGAAACCTGTCTGCCTCTGAAACAATTATAATTTGGACTTCATCTTGGTCTAAACCACATCCCTATGGTCAACCAGGAAGTCTGAGGCAGAATGAGAAATTAAAGCAAGCTCTTCTCTTTCCACATCTTGGCAGGTGGACTAATAACCAGAGCATCCTTCTGTGGATATCTTAAACAAGTCTAAAGTGCTGTGAATCACTGGCTGACCATATTTGCCAGTCTCTCCCAAGCTGTGATAAAATACATATATTACCCACATGGCAAAAACTATAAACAGCAATTGTCTCTTTTTCTCCCATAAATGGCAATGACATCATGTCAATTATTACTGTAGCATGAACAATGGATCTGTTTTCTAAAAGGGTCTAGCATATGTGGAAGTGGGTTAGACTTACCCAAAATCCATTATAAAGGCTCTGGGACTTCCCTGGGGAGTTGTGTCCTCTCAAGGTGTGAAAGTTGCACAGAAGGGAGGGGATGGCATCATGCAGTGATGTGACACAGTGCTAACAGTGACTGTTGCAAGGTGTGTGTTCAAAGATGGAAGAAAGAATTTGGGGGATAAAGTCTGAGAGAAAGACAGAGCCCTGTACCTGTTTAATATTTTGCTTATGGAAACAGTTTCCTATCTAAGTTACTTTTAATAGAATAACTATTTTGGAGAAAACCAAATGTTAACAGAAAGTTTGTTTTCTGCAAAGTCTGCTTCATATTTTAATTGAAAGTTTATGGAATATTTTCAATTTTGAGTTGCCAGTGCCATGGTTTTAATAGGATTTTCAGTTTGGTTGTGTTATGCTACCACTGCCAGCCCTCACCTACCTGTTGATCTTCTCCCAGGATGTTTACTGGTTGGAATCAATGGTCTTAGAAGTCTTGTCCAACCCAAACAATTCTATGAGTCTATAATTCCATGCATAGCAGCAACACAGGACCCATAAGAGGCAGATGGGCACTGTGAGAAGTCATGGTCTGACCACACAGCATTTCACAATCCATTTTTTAGGACTTCGAGGTTATTTTTGCTCTAGATTTTTTAGTTGTCACCAAAAGCTTGGGATGTTCTGAGAGGACAGAGGGGAAGGTATTTTCTAACCAGCTCTAACTCTTTATTCTCTGCTACAAAACAGCTACAAGAAGGGAGGAGTGGCTTCAGGATTTAAGCATGTGGAGACCAACATGTACAACATCAAGCGCCTTCTCCATGTCAAGGGGAAGAAGCACGTGTCAGCCACAGAGGTGAGAAGAAAACCCTTCTCTTCTTATGGATCATTTCTCCTTGCCTCTCCTCCTACACCCATTTTCAGCCAGGTTTTCCTGCTGGATATCTCATCCCTGCCCCAGGACTTCTACTCCAGGATAGTTTTCAAGACCTCACCCAGGGGTTTGGTATTACATGTGAGAAGCCAGTGGGCACAGCCAGTAGCTGAGCGGCAGAAGGATGAGCCTGTCATTGCAAACCTGTTCTTACATCCCAGGGACAGGTTTGCAATGGCTGTGATTTGTCACCTGCAGCTCTTGTCCTCCTCAGTTTGCCAGATGGTTTCATTTCCTCGTGACAGGTAGCGCTTTCCTGGGACAGTTTCAATAAGGGCGATGTTTTCTTGCTGGACCTTGGGAAAGTGCTGATTCAGTGGAATGGACCCAGCTGCAGCATTGCTGAGAAATCCAGGGTGAGTACAGGCTGAGGCCACTTAGTTTACTGGTGGTATTTTTCAATGCCAGGAGAGAAAAAAAATAGGGAAAAAATGCTCAGTGTTTGCGCAGTGAAAATCTTACTAAGAGCAGCAGCATTGAGATGATTGGGTATGGGGAAGAAAATTATTGGATATTAGAAAGAAATTTTTTACAGAGAGAGTAATCAGACATTGGAATGGGCTTCCCAGGGAGGGGGTGGATTCACCATCCCTGTAGGTTTTTAAGATGAGACTGGATGTGGCATCAGTGCCATGGTCTGGTAACCACGGTGGGGTTGGATCAAGGATTGAACCTGATGATCTCAGAGGTCTTTTCCAACTTGGTTGATTCTACGATTCTGTGAACAGAGAAAATAATGATAAAACTTCTACTTCCTCATCTGCTCGTTTTAGAGGCACATGGAAGTGCTTTCTTCTGGTTCAGACCTCAGCTTGGTTTCACAGGCAGCTGTGGGCCCATCATTAGCTCTCTCCCTGGAAAGTCATCCAGCTTCCTCTGGGGAAGTCTATTTCCATCCCTCTGTGCCCTATAGTTTGCATGCTGTAGGATTAGAAAGTCAGCAACACCAGCAGGTTTAGCTGCAGTGACTACCCCCAGGGCAGATTAGTTTTAATTTTTTGTTTACAGTGTCACAAGGAATTCTGGCTTGGTCAGTATGAGACAAGTAGGAATACATAACCCAGGTGCTCATAGGTCAGATCCATAGCTCTTGAGGCACTTTGCAAAGGGATCATTATCCTTATTTTACTGATAGAGGAACCAAGATACAGAGATGTAACACAGCAAGATATATCAGTGGGCAATCAGCAAAGCTGGTGGCCAAACTCGTAGCTTGTCATTATAACATTTAAAGGCAGGTGGGTCTGCTCTGCACGTGGTGTCCCCTGATGAGCTAAGAGAGGGGGAAGCTTCACAGGGAATGTGGTTTTTCAGGGCTCCGTGGCTAAAGGAGAAGATCCTGTGGGTAATGTAGAAGAGATAAAGCAACACTGAACAGAGGAGGGGGAGCAGGTAGAGGGATGGCCACTGGGTTCATCTCAGGCCGCGAGCAGGTGATTTCCTATGTCTAATAAACAGAGGCACCTTTCAAAGCTGTTGCAGTAAGAGTCATGGGGAAAAAAAAATAATTTAATGGAAAATGGGAATTTCAGCCTAATTAGTTGCTTGACATTTCACGCTGCTTTTTTCACAGAAGACATCCGTGTTTTTTGAACACTTGAAGCATTTAAATGTAAAATGTCACTGCGGGGCACCCAGGGTCCCGCAGCTCTGCAGCATCCTGCCTCACTGTCCTCAGCATGTGTGTGCATCTCTCTCCCAGACCATCCCACAAGACCATTGGACCTGCTGATGTGCAGTCACACACACAGGCAACGCCTGCTGTGGCTCCCACACGCCTGTGCCCTGCGGGAGCAACATCCAGCGACTATAACAAGCAATATTTTCCTAAGAGTTAGTTAATAATCAGACACTACAGACACATCTGCTTTTTTAATAGCTAAATTTGGAGGGCACTAGAAGCTTCGGAGAGCTGTGGTGATGTGGCTTGGGCTCAGTCTTTGCTGCAGGTCTGGGGCAGTGAGTTTGTTGTCTGTGTCAGGACTTACCCCTCTGATCCGTGTGCAGGGTCTGGCGCTGGCTCGCAGCATCAGGGACAGCGAGAGGGGTGGCCGTGCTCAGATTGGCATCATTGACAACGAGAAGGACTCCCCAGACCTGATGCAGATCATGAGGATGGTGCTGGGAGAGAGGCGTGGGGAGCTCCGAGATGCCATCCCGGACACGAAGGCGGATGAGCTGCAGAAGGCGAACGTCCGGCTCTACCAGTAAGTCCAGGGATGTGCCCCAAACCCTTTCCTTCCTCACAGCGAGCACTATGAAGGCTGACTCTGCTCGGTGACTGTGTCTTTCAGTGTCTATGAGAAGGACAACGACCTGGTGGTACAGGAGATCGCCACCCGGCCCCTGACACAGGATCTGCTCCAGCACGAGGTGAGAGCCAGAGGCTTTTACAGCGGGAAAAGGGTGCTGTGGCCCGCTTTGTTTTCAGCTGAGCACCTGTTTCAGTGGGATACCCTGTTTCCTTCCATCATTAGAACAGCTCAGCCCCACTCAGGGACATCATTAGGACAGCTCAGGAGCCAGAGATAGGTGGTGCATTGGAGCTGTTCCAACCGGAGATGGCAAATTGATGCTCTCAGCCAAGGATTATACTGGCTTGGCAATCAGAGTGAAGGAGAGCTGCCTACCAGGAGTAAATTCCAGATGGAATTAAAGCTTCTTAATACCTGATGTTCAGGGATAGCCTTGCCTCTGCTGAATCCAGAGCAAATAAATACTCTGCTTAGAAAACCAGGGAGATATGTTTTCCTGCTGTAGCAAGTGGCTGGTGTCAGTCACCCACCCTGGAAGGAGATTCCTTACAGACCCTCTGTGCAAACACTTTCAGAAGACAGAGACTTTCATTCTGACTAAAATTTGGCAGAGAACTGCTCACCCTTAATTCTCTGCAGTGCAAACCAGCCTATTCCAAAACATGATTGTGCTGCGAGGTTCCCCCTCCCTCATTCCCCCTGGTGTCAGCCTTGTTAAATCTCAGTCTCCCTTTGCAGACATACTTCGTTTTTCTTTTCAAACTTCAGTCTGAAAAATGAGAAGCCTTTGGTCACACAGCGTGTTTGGAGCACCAGCACTCTGCAGATGGGCTGCTCAGCAGACATCTCATCCCCTTTGGGTTTGGGATTCTGCTGCCTTCACAGCAATGCAACACTTTTGGCTCCAGATCAGGGACACAAAATAGTCAAGCAGAAGAGGTTTACTGGACTTTTCCTGCTCCTTTAGTAGCAGATTTGGCATAAACAAGCACCACCAGCAGCAGTGCTGAAGCACAGCAGGCTGAGGGTGATATTTCAGCATGCACCCCTCCTGCTGCTCCCTTTTAGGGCTGGTGTTTCTGTTGGTCTGAGAACATCACCTGTGAGACAGTTATAGCCAGCTTGGAGCAACGCCTAAAAAAATACATATTTTAACTCACTACAATTAGAAGTCATCTGGGTCAGGTGTGCTTGCAAAGTCAGTGTACCTGTGAACCCCTGCCCTGTGGGGTTGGTGGTAGCTGTAGTCCATTTATGAACCACAACAAATCCATCCTCTGTTACCTCTGCTAATGGTTGCACCAGGGTTAGGGCTCTGCAAGGCAGGGAAATGAGCCAGATCTGCATCTAACCCAAATCTTCAAGAAGGATCCAGCCTGAGCAGGCTACAAATGATGGCCTTTGCCTGCGCAGAGCTTTTCACGTCTGTTTTTTTCTGTTTCCTGTTTTTCACGTTTCACCTCAGGACTGCTACATTTTAGACCAAGGTGGTTTCAAAATTTACGTCTGGAGAGGAAAAGCCTCCAGCCCAGAAGAGAAAAAAGCAGCCTTCACCCGAGCTGTGGTGAGTTGTAATACTGTGCAAACAATGTCGTGGGAGGTTAATATGTGCTGATCTGGATCTGGCCACTAATTACAATTAAGTGTAGGTCTTGGGGAGCTGGCCTGTGTAATAACAGAGGCAGAATTTATGTGTCTAAGGGAGGCATGATGACGCAAACACAAAATTGTTAGTCATCAATTGTGCTGGGACTAAAACCTGACACTAAAACTAGGAAGAAATCAGTTAAAGAAAAAAAGTATCAAAGAGAATACTTTGTTGTGTGGTAAATAGTGAACTTCTGGAATTTGTTGATTCAAGAGATGGTGGAGTCAGGGAATATCAGCAGAGTTGAGATGGGATTAGACAAATTCATGGTCAAAAGGTGCATGGAAAGATATTAAAGGGGTTCTTGTATCCTCTCTAAGATCCATGGCCCAATATTGTGGATGCTGGGGAGAGAGAAGGGGTCACACTGGAGGACATGAGCCACTGAGCTCATGTTTGCTCACTGAACAGCATTTCCTAGTGCCACTGTCCCAGGCAGCACAGAACACTGCTCTGACCCCAAAAGGCATCTCCTGTGTTCTAACCAAGAGTAGTGCCTTGGGTAAGTCACTGGGGAACTCCCTTACTTGGAGTCTCTGGAAAAGCCAGACCTTTTATGTATAGGCTTCATCTGCAATTCCATTACAGCTAACAACTGTTCCACAACACCAGTGGGGCTGGGCCCAGGTTCTGTGTGTGAATTTGGATGTGATATGGGGCTCTTCCACTGGGTAGAGAGAGATCTGCTATTAGCAGCTGTTAATTCAGATTGGTCGACCTAAGGCAAGACCAGGGCTCATGACAGGGTAGAACACACCAGCCTAGTGCCCTGGCTCCTCCAGATGAGCTGCCATGTGGTTATTTCCTGGCAGATCATGCCTCAACTCCTCCTTTCAGAAAAAAAATAGCCTTGAGGGAGCCTGAGCAAGCAAGACATTTGGTATTTTTTTACAAGTTGGCATGTTGAAGTGAAGGCTACAAAGAAACTTAGCTTTTGATTATCTGTTTACTTATGGGAAGACCATAAATGGCTTCATCTTAAATGAGATCTAACCAGGAGATACTGAACCTCATGGTTCCACATTCAATAAGGCCCTACCTGGAGACACCCAGCTTCAATACAGATTGCACCTATTGTCTCAGAGAAGAAAAGCTTAAAAAAACTTTGCCTCAGGACTTGTTTCACTGTCCTCTGTGCTCCTTAACTCAAACCCTTTTTAGTAGGCAATGAGCTCTGCAAACTCTGGCCCTGAGCTACGCACACAGAACAAAAGATATCTCTTTCTCTCAGTGTGGCAGGTGGGAGGGTTGGGAGGACCATCTGCTCTGCTTTTCCCTGGGGGTAGTGCATGGCTGCAGTATTTACAGCAGAAGATGAATGCTCAGAAAGCCACAGTCAGGCTCCTTCCCTGAACCACGGCTGTCAGCACTGCACGTTTGGTCATCCTAGAGCCTGCTGAGATAAACACAAGAGCAGTTCCCAAAACTGAACAAGGATTTTGGCATTGTGGCAGAACACAGATAATTTTCTTCCTTCTCTTGTGTCTTCTTGTATCAAGCACCTCTGTTGAAGCGGTCTTTTAGCTCAGTAGTAGCACTATTGCAAAGAAATAATGTGGGTTTAGGGGGAAAAAAATTAAGAAAAAAGATTTTTGAGTGTTCAGCCCCTTCAGAACACACCTCTGGGGTGCTGAGCTGCTTCCATCCCTTCTCTCCCTTGGCATGCATGCTCTCTGTCATGTACCAATCTTCCTGGTTTGGAGAGGGACAAAAAGTTTGGAGAAAAGCAATGAACTGAACTAGGCTCTTGGATCATGAGTACACTCCATCACTGCTCCTTCCCCTCCACTCCCAGATCCATCACCAGGAGCCATCTATGGAGCTATCTGAGATAGAGGAGGAGGCTTTCCATTACACCCATTGAGTGAGATTTTCTTCAAGACTAAGGAGCCGTGTAGAGATTAATTTTAGGATGTGATCCAAGTGGTCAGGCTGTAGGGGTAGGGTTCAGTGCTCTAAAGACAGAAATAAACATGGATACTACAGTGAGAGCTTGCAGTCACCTCTGTTTGTAACTCTGAATGCAAGTTTTGGGGTGAATCCTGCCCTTGGTCAAGCCACTGTGTTCAGTGAGGGACATTCCCTCTTCAGGCTGGTTTGGGTCCACATCCCTCTTCTCATGTCTGTAAGAAGCTTGCTGTGACCTTTCTCAACCCCACCAGGGTTTTATCCAAGCCAAAGGCTATCCTTCATCCACCAACGTGGAAGTGATCAATGACGGGGCGGAGTCAGCCATGTTCAAACAGCTCTTCCAGAGGTGGACGGAAAAGAACGAAACACAGGGGCTGGGAAAAGTCTACACTACTGGAAAAATTGGTGAGCATGTTGGTCCTGCATTTGTCTTTCCTACCTGTGCTAAGCAGCAGCCAAGGGAACATCATTCACACTGTCTCCTGCCTTCGGTATCTTGAAAATCTGGTGCACATTCTTCTCGTGCCTCGTGTCTTCCATCTTCTGCAGCAGATGCAGAGGATTCATCAGCTGACATTCAGAGCTGCTGAGGCTTCTTGTATGAGCCAACCTGCCACTTATTCTAAGTGTAAATGTTGGCAGACGGTCACTCCTCTCTGAAAAATCGTGCACAAAATTTCACACTTGCAGGACATCCCCATTTTCATTGTGAAGGGCTAATGCTGATCCTGGTAAGGAACTGCTGAACAACATTCTGATTTCGTTTGCACTGGCATCTATCCAAGACTCTCCTGACGTCAGGGGATTGATGCTGTATGTACACGGGGTGTAAATGATGTGTTTATCACACTGCTGAAGTGAATATTACAATGCATTAACCCCAGAGAGCAAACAATACCAAAGAGAAGGAACTTATTGATGAGTGATGGGAAGATGACAGTGATGCTGAACATCTCCATCAATAAAGCTTGAGAGCCACAAATCTTTTTCCCTTCCAAGTTTTTTCTTTTCTCTCCACCTCTGTTTCTTTCTGTGCTGTCCATAAATACTCTGTCTCTTTTATCACAAGCCGGAGGAATGTAGGCATTTTATTTCTGAAACCAATGTTTTGAAAGGAGGAAAATATTTATAGTTTTGGAGAACAATTATCAGTTTTCAGTCAGGAGACAACTAATTTTTACCAGCCAGTCATCACTGGAACACACTATCTGGCCAATTCCAGCCTGTAACAGGTCAGCACTGGAGTATGTGAGCTCTTGCATATTCAAAAATCAACACTGGTTTATACTGGTGGCTTCTTGCAACCCTGGACCATTTTTTTCTTGCATGTATGATAGTTGTGTGTGAGGGTGATGTGGGGGGTTTGTCTGTTATTGTGCATTCACTGGGTTCTTGTTTTTGTTCTGCTGGTGCACACAGCCAAGGTGGAGCAGGTGAAGTTTGACACCACTCAGCTCCATGCCAGGCCAGAGCTGGCTGCTGAGCAGAGGATGGTCGATGACGCCTCTGGGGAGATCGAGGTGAGAGAGCTCCTTTTTCTGACAGAGGGTGCAATGATCAGTGTGTTACCAAACATCACTTGGCCTAGATAAAGGGAAACTAAGGATAGACCTCATGGCAGTCTACAGCTTCCTCACAAGGGGAAGGGGAAGGGCAGGCACTGATCTCTTCTTTCTGGTGACCAGTGACAGGAGCTGAGGGAATAGCCTGAAGCTTCAGGAGTCTCTTAGCAACAGGGCTGTGCTCTGTCTTCACCTTGACTCCGCTGCTGCTCACCAAGATGTTTCTTTTACCAGGTGTGGAGGATTGAGGACTTGCAAATGCAGCCAGTGAATCCCAAGACATACGGGCAGTTCTACGGGGGCGATTGCTACCTGGTCCTGTACACCTACCTGAGATCAGGCAGGCCCCACTATGTCCTCTACATGTGGCAGGTAGGTCAAACCAGAGCAGAAGGGACTGTCCTGTGTCTGCTATAGAAGCCTAAAGCTGAAGGAAGCAGTTGCACAGAAAAATCCCAACCCAAGCATCCAGAAGAATTCAGGTACCCTTTGCTTATCAGTTGTCCATTTCAAATGTCTCGAGCTGTGCTTTGTAGGCAGCATGGACACTGATCCCAGGCTGGCATCAGGCTGAGAGCCAGCAAAGTCAGAGTGAAGGATTATGGGGCTTACAATGCTCAGGTCAAACTTTGGAGTCTACCTCTCCCTTAAAGCCTCAGTTCCTGGAGTTATGTGGGTATATGAACATCTCTGCTTTCCTTTTTTAAATATTATTTCGTGGAATGCAGAAAGAAACTTGAAAAATGGGATGCTAAAGTCTGCAAAACCAGAATGTGAGGGAAATTTAAATATCTGGAAGTTTTAACTCTGACATTCCATGCTTGGAACTGGCAAGATGTTCCGTTGTGTCACCTCTAATCCCACGTGTCACCTCTCTGTTCCCCAGGGCCGCCACGCCTCTGTGGATGAAATCACTGCCTGTGCCCTCAATGCCATCGAGCTGGACAAGAAATATGGGGACGAGGCCGTGCAGGTGCGGGTGACGATGGGCAAGGAGCCCAGACACTTCCTGGCCATCTTCAAGGGCAAGCTGGTCATCTACGAGGTAACGTGGCTTTGTGAGTGTGGGCAAAGGGAAGCACCAGCGATGGCTTGGCAGCTGCAATGGAAATAATCCAGAAAAAAATGGGCTGATACTCAGGAAAGGAGCTTGCCAGGTCTGCACAGGCTGGCAGATGGAATGGTGGAACATTCCTAGTACTTCCCGAGTAGTGTGAACAGCGTTTGTGTAAACACAGTCCTGGACTGACCCAGACTCCACTGTCCACCCCTGACCTCCAGCACTGATGTGTGTAGTTCTTTCCAACTCTACCCCAAAATACTCTGCAGAGATAGAATAAGGCAATCACCCTGTGATTTACAGAGAGTGCCATCCAGAGAGGGTCCTCCAAAATATCCTGCAGTCATGATTTGACAATTCATATTGTCCCTCACTGAATTATATCACATTACCTACCAACCCACTTCACTAGCTCCTGTGGCTGCTGGCATCTGTGGTGGAGACACTGCAAGTGTCTGTGGAGGAGGGGGATTACCTCAGCTCTCAGTGCTGGTCCCACTGTACAGTTTCCATGGTGGGTGTTGAGCTAAGCTGAGCACAGCTGGAAATCAGAGTCCAGCTGCCTTACCCACTCTGCATGGCAAATGCTTTGCAGAAACTAAGATCTGCTCACATGGAGTTTTAGCATCTTGATGGGAGCTGATCAAGGCTCCATAATCAGGGAGAAATGTGGAAGTTTTGCCATGTGGGTTTCATTCTGACCTGGGACCAGAATGTGTTTGGATTTCCTCACAGGAGCATGATCCATCATTGCAGCAGTGGGGAAGGGCTGTGAGCACAAAAGCCTTCATTGAATCAGTGGCACCCTGGATCTGTGTGTCCTCCTCACTTCCCAGCACCATCCTTCCCTCTGTTCCCCTGCAGGGTGGGACCAGCCGGGCTCAGAAAAGCGCTCCCGAGCCAGCGATCCGCCTCTTCCAGGTGAGGGGCACGGATGAGGTGAACACAAAGGCCACAGAGGTGCCAGCCAGAGCCTCCTCCCTCAACTCCAACGATGTCTTCCTGCTGACCACCAGCCAAGTCTGCTACCTGTGGTGTGGGAAGGTGAGGCTGCAGAGACACCAGGGGAGATGGCTGAAGGAAATCTGAAATTGCTGACGTGGGGCTTGAGTCTCCTCCCTCCACTGAGGTGTGGAGGTGAACCCTTGGGTAGGTGGCCAAGGATTGGAGAAATGGCCTCCTTGAGTTGCGTCAGGGAAGGTTTAGATTAGATATTATGAGAAACTTCTTCACAAAAGGGGTTGACAGGGAAGTGGGGGAGTTACCATTCCTGGAAGTATTCAAAAAAATATATGGATGTGGCATGCAAAGACATGGTTTAGTGGTGAACACGGTGGTTTTGGGCTCATGGTTGGACTTGATGATATTTGAGGTCTTTTCCAACCTTAGTGACTCTGTGATTCTATGAGAAAGGTGCACCCAGGAGGCTCCAGAGGCTCCATCTGTGGAGGGTCAGCAGGAACAGAGCCTTCTCTACAAAGACAACTTAAGTTGCAGTTCACCTCACCTTAATTTAGATGTTCATACAGCTTTCAGATGAATAAATCACCCCAGATTTTCCAACTGTAAGAAATAAGCCAGGATGTTCATTTATCCTGTTTTAGTCACACATTTCAAGATGAGGTGGTGGATCAAACTGAAGCAGAAGGGTTGCTCGGAGTGGTTGTGGCTGCCCCATCCCTGGAGGTGTTCAAGGCCAAGTTGGATGGGGATATGAGCAACCTGGTCTAGTGAAAGGTGTCCCTGCCTATGGCAGGGGGTGGGAACAAGATGATCTTTGAGGTACTTTACAACAAAAACCATTTTGGCATTTTGTGACTTTTGCTCTAGGCTGCACTGAATGTCCCTTCAAGGACTAGAAATGGGTTCTGAGTGTCCAGCTCAAAAGCTTTCAAGCAGGTCTGAAACTCTCCAGAGGACCAAGCCAGCTTTTCCCCACAGATAAGTTTTGCCAGTCTGACCCTAATTCCACCTCAATCTTACGTTCTGCACACAGGGATGCAGCGGAGACGAGCGGGAGATGGCAAAGATGGTAGCTGACATCGTTTCCAGACGGGACAAGCACACCATTTTGGAAGGACAAGAGCCAGCAGAGTTCTGGGAAGCTCTGGGAGGCAAAGCACCTTATGCCAGTGAAAAGAGGTAATAGTGACCTGTTTGTTCCTCTGGGCCTCTCCAGGGAACTTTAAGCCGGCGATCAAAACTTGGCAGGAAAGTGAGTACTTTGATACTGTGTCCTCACTAAAGGTCACACAAGGTCAGAATATCACCAAAAGCTTGGTCAGAAACCACATTGAGATGACTCTTCCCTAGATTTTGGTTCAGGCCTTCTGTGTAGTAGGAGCTGTAGATCCAAACCCTGCAGAGAAGGATGTGCTACATCCTCCTTTCCCCACAGCAAACCCACCCCATATCTCATCATAAGGGCTACAGGAACCACATGCTCCATTTCCAGCCATCATTGGGGAAGCCCCCGAAGACTTATGAGACTAAAGCCTGCCTCTGAACAACCTGGATTTCTCCAGCCTTCTGGGCAGGTGATGGGTTCCTTTGCAACCAGGTGATCTGATGTGGGTTTCACCTGACATCAGGTTCATCTCCACAATGAGAGAAGGGCTCTGCTTTTACCCTCTTTGGGTGGAGAAACAGTTACCTTTAAAAATCATTAAAATGGTCCAAGAATCCCCTTGAGACCTGACTTTCAGGACCTCAGATGGCTGTTGCAATGTTCTGCCCCTTCCTCCCAGGCCACGCCAAGTAGCGTCAGGGCCCTGCAGGAGGCCACGAGGGAAAAATTTCCATCTCTCTCGGTTTTTCTTCCCCTGCCATGCATGAGGAAGGTTCCAAGAGCAGATCACACACTACCAGCCTCGCCTCTTCGAGTGCTCCAACCAGACGGGCCGGTTCATCATGACAGAGGTGGTGGGCTTCTGCCAGGAGGACCTGGATGAAGATGATGTCATGCTGCTGGACACATGGGAAGAGGTCAGCACGGGTCCCGGTCCCCTTCTCCCCAGATGTATTTTCAAACAGGTTATGGCTTTAATTGGTTTGAGTCCATCACTCAGTGTGAAACCAAGGTCCTTCTCACCCAGGGACAGCACAGGTGAGGGAGGCAGCATTACCAGACCTCTTTCAGAAAAGTGAAAACTGAGACACTTGGTCCATGCCTTCCTCCAAGGTGAGAAGAGCTGGACCTGCTCTGGTCTTTACCAGTTTATACAAGGAGGTGGCACCCAAAAACGCTCCCCCTCACTTCCCAGCACCTGTGGTGATGACTTGCTTTAGGCTATGGAAAGCTGTCTCCAGGAGTTTTCTTTCTGAAGTGGATCTATGGAAGGACAGGGTTCAGTTACCTTGAAACACGCCAGAGCTGTTACCTGAAATATTTATACTTTGTGCCCGTCTCAGAAGTAAAATCTTTCTTGGCTGGAATTAAATCTGGAATCAAAGTCACAAGGGACTATTGGGAAAGCACGTTTCCAGTCTTATCTCTGCTGCCATTGGCAGGGGAGAACAAACAACCCTGTCTGCACAGGTCCCAAGGACTCACTGAGCTCCAGCACCTTCTCTCTTTGCAGATTTTCCTTTGGGTTGGCAAAGCCTCCAACGAATACGAGAGGAAGGAGGCCATTGCCTCAGCTAAGGAGTATCTCAAGACCCATCCAGCAGGGAGAGACTCGGCAACCCCGATAATCCTGGTGAAGCAGGGCTACGAACCCCTCAACTTCACAGGGTGGTTCAACGCTTGGGACCCCTACAAATGGAGCGTAAGTTGCTGGAAAAGCCCTGTGGTGCCCGTGCACACGGGCTCAGCAGTGCTTAAAGGGCATTCTTCTCAGTGGATGTATGATACAGGGAGTGAAACCTCACTAGGACATGTCCTGAGCTTCACAGAGTCACAGAATGGCTTGGGTTGGAAAGGACCTTAAAGCTCACCTAGTTCCAAGCCCCCCCACCATGGGCAGAGACACGAGTTCCTGGTGCCTGAGCAGCAGGTTCCTGGCTCCCGAGCGGCTTCACCTGCCCCTTCATCGGCAAAAAGTACCTGTTTGGTGAAACTGAGGCTTTCTCAGATATGTGTGCTTGAATTCACAATATTCACATTTTTATTTAAAAAAAGATCATGTTCCAAATCGTGTTTGTGATTTCGGCCAAAAAGGGGTCAGGGCTGTGAGTGTTAAAATGAAGTTCAGAGTGAAGACAGAAGCTTCCCCCCCCCCCATCATAAAGAAAATGGGGGAAAAAAATGTTCATTTCTCAAAATGCAGCCACAGAGTAAAATTTATGACCCAGCTTTAAGGGCGAATTGTGGTGAAATGAAAGATGTGAGCAGACAGGTCTCATGTTCAGGTTTGTGGAATGCCCATCACAGCCCAGGAGCTCCTGAGCAAGGTCACCCTTGGTCCCTACACATGAGCCTTCCTCTCAAACCCTGATGTACAAATACCAGCTCTTTGCTACATAGAAATGGCAACCTGCCCCAGGAGATGCCTGGGAATTAAAAAAAAGAGTACTTTCTCTTCTCTTTCAAACACATGGGCTTCAAATAATTTTAGGAGCATAATGTGGAGCAGGGATTTGCTCATGTGGCCCGTACTTAAAGCCTCACCAGGACGCTGGTGGGTGAGAGGAAGGAGCGATGCACTGGGACAGTGTGGAGGCCCCCAGGACTTCATACTGCAGGAAAACTCTTACAGGGATATTTTATTTCCTGCATCTGGGTTTGCATCTTCTTTCTTAGTGGTAGTAGAGAGCCTGTCTTGACAGCTGGATCTGCACAGATAAGACAGCAACTCCCAGAGCAATGACCCTTAAAACAATGCTGATGCTTAGAACAAAGGTCAAAACTTGTGGGTTTGGTTTGTTGGTGTTCTTTTTTTCTGAGGAACTGCTGAAAAACAAGGATGCAGCTCATAAAATATGTGCCTCTAAAAATATCCCCTGTAGGCAGATTCAGCAACTACAGACAAGTCATCCAAACTGTTGACATCCCAGAAACATCTGGTGTATGTTCATTGCTCAGTTTTGGGTCTAAATCTGTTTTCTCTGCAGTCCATGTGTTCATGTTGTTTGTTCTTGTTGGGAAACTTTGTTGGATGATTCTGTTAAGAACTGACATCTCCTGGCTGCTTAGGAAAACACAGTCATGAGCTTTGCCAATATATCCAGTATATTCCTTTCTTTTTTTTTTTTTTTCCAATAAATACCAGGTAGCTCATAATACACGGCACCGTGTCAGGGACTGAGGCTTTGAAAAATCCGTCAATTTAGATAAATGATTCAAGGAAGGGGAAAAAAGGAATAACATTTGATCCCTAGTTTTCACGCATTGCAAGATTCATTTAAAATGTAAGAGATTTAAACCCAGCTGTAAATATGATTTCTCTTCATTTGCCCTCTACTGTCTAAACCCTTTTAAATTTCCTGTTTTCACCTGTTATTGTAAAGCTGCAAAGGCTAAAGTCTGTTTGTTTCTTTGTTTTCAAGGGAAAGCTCCGGCCCTGACATAGTCTCCTGAGTCCAGGGGCTGAGGTTTGCAGAGCTGCCACCTCAGTGAGCACCTCTGGACTTCAAAATTCATCATCTCCTGAGCCTGTTAGAGACCAGGAGGGTGAGATAAATGCAGCCCACGCTTCTTACAACTCTCTTTCCCTTTAGGATGGCAAGTCCTATGAGGAGATGAAGAACAGCTTGGGAGACGTGTCGGCTATATCTGAGATCAAAGTGGTGAGTTGTGTTGGGAACACCTGGAGCACCACCACGTCCCCCAGCCTGCTCTCATGAAGGAGACGACATCAGGGTCAGAGGAGGGATGGGGACCTCAGGCCCCCAGGGTCAGAGCTGTGCACCTCTGTGGTAAAGCAGATGGAGATGTGATAAATAACACATAAATACACCCAGACCTCCTGGGCCTTTTCCAGACCTGTCCGGAGGCATCTGTGAGCAGAACATTGCCCAGCTGCTTTAATGTAGAACAAATACAGGTGTGTGCAGCTGTAAGAGTAGGCAGTGAAGTGTTGTGTGAGTAGCTGGCAGTGGTGGAGCCCCTGAGACCTCAGGTAAGGGCCCCCTGGTCAAGAAGGGCATAGCCCAGTGGAGTATCCTCCAAAGCACAGAGGAAATGAGGTCCCAGCAGTCCCAAATGCAAATGTCACACGGGTCAGTTCTTCCCTGGGCACGGTCAGGATGAAGGCTGGAAGGAAGTGTCAGGTTTGGATGAGGAGAGATGGCCCATCAAGGACGGGTATGCAGGTAGTTTCGAGGTTTTAGACATGGTAGACATCTAATCTCACCTTCTGTCCTCCCACATGTACCTTCCCCTGATGTTATCTTGAGAAGAATGAGACTGCTGTAAGTATCCTCAGCTATTTCTAAGAGCTCTCATTAGTGTGTGCTTTTAGCAGTCCTAACATCAAGGTGTAGCATTTGTGGAGGTGCTGGACTAATGCTTTAGTTGGGCCTTTCTCCTCGCTGCTTTGGAGCTACAGATAGTCTGTGCCAGAAATAGTCCCCCACAACCCCAATGGAGAGAAATATCCTGGGATAATCCCCAACTTGCTCTGCCAGAGCATCTTGTCTTGACATGTTTTCCTCCGTTTGGCAGGACCTTAACAACATCAGCCTGAACAAGAGGACCCTCAGCGTGACCAGCTTGGCCAGTTCAAGCAATCCAAATGCTTCCTCGGAGTATAAATCCCACTTCAACCACAGTGACAGCAACAGCTACAGCAACAGCAGCAACTACAACAGCAACAGCAGCCCTTCCCTGATGCCCAATGGTGAAGGAGTTTACTCCCGAGAGGTGCTGATGAACAGGACGGTGGATGAACTTCCAGAGGGCGTGGATCCCACTAGAAAAGAGGTGACAGCATTGCTGGTTTGATGCCTTTGTAGCTTAACCTGGAGTTTACTCGTTGGATAAGTGTAGCAGTACTTTAGAATAAAAAGTCCTGCTTCAGACTCAAGGAGATACTGGCTGGACACACAGGTCTCGTCAAGAGGAGGAGCTTCACATGAGAGGAAATTCACAGACTCACAGAACGGCCTGGGTTGGAAGGGACCTTAAAGATCCCCCAGTTCCAACCTCCCTGCCGTGGACAGGGACACCTTGTGGTGGTTTTACCCTAAAATGAAGTAATTCTATTTTTTTATGGTCCAAAAATGAATTTTAAATAGAAATTTTTTAAAAAGAAAATATAAAATGCTTTCTTCTGGTAGGGTTGTTTTGCTCTGTCCTTGGAGGAATCTAAAGTAAGATTCCTGTGGGACAAGCTGACACAGCTGAGAACGAAGCCAGGATTTGCATTTTGCTTGGGCTGCAGGTGAATATTTTCATTTGAAACTCCTTCCAGAAGGGATATTTTTCCTCTTCTTTCTTTTTTTTTTTAAATTTTTTTTTATTTATTTTGTCAGAAACCTTGCATCTCAGCAATTTGCAGTTTCAGGAGAAATGACACATCTCAGATTTCCCATCAGCCCAAGGATTTTGGCAATGTCTGTAGCTGGGTCCAAGCAAGCTGATGGGAGAGACACAGGGTTGATTTCCTCTACTCCCTGCAACCCATCTTTGACCCATATCTTGCCCAACAGATCTGGCAAAGGCCAACACCCACAGCTAGAGACACAAATCTACAGCTGGGCTGTAGATGAGCTCTTTCTTCTGCCCAAAATGCCAGGAAAAAACTCAGCCTCCGCTTCCCACAGGGTCTTTCTTGGTATTCCTGATGACCCTGCTATCTGCAACCCATCTGTCTTTCCAGCAATGGGAGTGAACATTTCCAATGGAATATTTGAGGGGAGGGAACTTAGTGAGAGGGAGATGCTTTCACTGTGAATCACTTGCTAAGAAACCACCCAAAACTTTGGCCAGCAGAACTTCTTTGATGGACTATAAATTGTCCTGGCCACAGAATGATTAGCAGGGACTGAATTCCAGCCACAAGCATGCTAAATCCTCAAAACCAGAGCATCCCTTTGGGCTGGTGGGCTTTTATTCCCCTGGTGCTTTGGGAAGTGGGATGAGGAACAGTTACTGGGATGTTCCACTTCCCAGCACAAGAACAGGCAGCTGGACAGGAGCTGCTGGCCTGGAGTCAGAGATCAGCACTGGCATGGTGAGGAAGGGATGCAGCCTATGGAGGTGTCCCAGCCTCTACAAAAGCCAAAGCTGACCTCTCCTTGCTCTCTCCTCCCGCTGCAGTTCTATCTCTCCGATGCCGATTTCCACGACATCTTCGGGAAGTCCAAGGAGGAGTTCTACCAGATGCCCAAATGGAAGCAGCAGAACGAGAAGAAACAGTGTGGACTCTTCTGAGACCACAGGGGCCATCCAGCATCCAGTGACTCTGGGACCAACCCTCGCCCTCTTAGGAGCTGCAGGGAAGAAGTGCAGGCATTTGCTCAGCGAACCCAGGCCCAGCTCCAACGCAGTTATCCCAGCAGCCACTGCTCAGGGGATGGCTCCTTCCTGCAAACCCAGAATGCCAGGAGGCGAAACCTTTTGCTGGAACAGCTTGGCAGGATGTTTTTGCCTCTTCCCGACACTTTATTGCTGATAGCCACGAAGACAAGTGTGTGCCACACAACTGTATTGTAGCCTCTTCTTTCGTTTCCCTTTTGCAAATCGCCACGTGCACAAGGTCATGATATCCCTTCCTTTGTAGAAGTTTAAAATTAGGCAAGACAAAGGCCATTTGCAGCTGCTGTGTAAATGCTGGGTGGGGAAAGGAGGGGGAAGCCCTAAGAGGATAGAGGGGAGAGCCTTGAGGCTGGGACAAAGGTAATGGAGTAGCCAGATGTCCAGTGGAGTAGTCCATGGAGTGACACCAGGCAGTTCTTCCCCTTCTCACCTTGTAGAAAAACTACCCACCAAAGAACAGCAAGAATCAGTTGTAGACTAACAGGCATAGATACCCCAGGGCAGGTAAAACACATGGGAACCTGGTTTGGGAAAAAAAAAGCACTTATTACAAATATATTTATTAGCTGATCTATTTCAAGGGCTAGGCACAAATGCTGATTTTGTCTGCCATGCAAGACTCTATCTACTTTTTCCTCATTCAGACAGCATCTGCAATCTCACCTGGCCTCCCTGAGCACAGCCAGGTGAATGTGAGTCCACCTGCCCAAAGACCAGAGGCCTGAGGAAGCCAGGAGGGTTTTGGGTACATCCTGAGGCAGAGCATGTCCTGCTGAAGGTTTTATCAGGGCTCCATCCCTGTGATGCCCATGGGGCTGAGGGGTGCCTGGTCCACACTGTGGGCTCTGACTAGGGAGGGCGGCAGGAAATGTGAGAGTGATCAGTGATTAAGGGATACAACTGTAACCTAAAGGAAGAAACATCTGTTTAAAAACTCAGTGTGGTTTTGCAGCTTTACTCCATTTCCAGCCTGACCAGTGATTCCAAATAAACATCCAGCAGCAGCACTTTTAAGTGTCCTTGATCAGCGTGTGGGGTAGGATGGCAGTAGATAAAAGCTCTGCAGTGCTACAGGTCCTTCAGACACCTGGTCATCAATGGAATTCTGGATTTTTTTGAAAAGAAAAGAACTGAGGAAATGGGGCCCCTTCTGTTCCCAGACACCACACCCAGGACAGTTTGTCTCCCCATGCCCGTGCCTTCTCCTGAAGCCTCCCATTGCCCATGAGCAGCAGTGCCTGACTGCCCACCCCTGCTGTGGGGGTGTGGGGATGGAGCTGAGGAGCTGCAGGCTCCTCATTGAGGAGGAGTAAAGAGCTCTTACTCAAAACCCCGGACCATTGCACTGAAGTGTCACCATCTGGCTGGGCTGGAGCTGGGGCCTCCAGGTGATGAGGTCTTCTGGACAGATCTCTGTGCTTAAGAATTGGCAGTTACTTCATATAAGCCCCAACCCCATCATTACCTCTGTGTTCCTGCCACCACTTTTGCCCATTTCTGCGTGAGGGTTCAGCCCAAAACCCATTGAAACTGCCTGTGCAGAGTAAGTTAAGCACCAAGCAGAGACACAAATCAGCCGAATTACCTGTGTGATTGCTCCTGTTGTGCTCACATGAGGTGCAATCAGGGCACATTATCCATGTTTCAGCCTCCATTGCCACTGCTGGAAGCAGCAATATTTGCCTCACCCCGCTGTGCCACACTCCTGCCAGCTCCTAAATTAAAGAATTGCATGTGCTCCTCAATAAGTTGCAGGAGTGCCACCCACCTACCATCCCCGACTGTGGGCCTAACGAGCTTCACACAACCAAATGAAGAGCAGCCAAAATATAGTCAGATTAGGGAGATTAGGTCAATGTGCTACAAATTGCTTTAATTCCTGCAGCCACAGTGCTCACCAACACGAGCGGAGCACTCCTGCCAGCAGTAGGAAACCTGCATGGGATTTTACAGACCATAGATCCATCTGACACTTGGGCCTGATGGAAACTACTGCTGTTCTCCTCTTCTCATGGCAGAGTGGTTTTTACTCTCTGCCTCTGATTTCTAAAGGAAAGATCCTCACCCACATCCTCCTTTCCACGCCATTTGCTGCTTTTGCTGTGGCATCTGGTGGGCCATGACCTGTTTCTGCTGCTCTTTTCCTCAAAGCTCCCCTACAGTGGGGCTCCAACACTTTCTAACATGCTCAGAGATGAGGTTCCTTGATAATGACATGGACCACATCCCTTCCTTTTGGGAAGGAGACCTCATAGAATTGTCCATCGTGCTCTGCTCCGTCCCATCTCCATCTCTGCTACGTTCCCATCTGGTTCCAGTATTTTCCCCCAACTGTTCCTACCTGATGAGGGGTGTTTTCTCTTCCCAGGGATCTTACCTGACTTTATTTAAGTGTGCAACAGGCAGAGGAAAACCCAGCCTCTGTGATCCACCTAAGCCCACCCAGGCCCTGGATGGTGTGGTCCTGCCCCCACACCTCTCCCAACACCCTCTCCCCCACTTTCCTATTGCTGGCCACAGCAGGCAAGTGAGGGCTTTAACTCAAATAATCCAACTGAAATCTAATCCTGCAACCCAAAAAATGCAAATAATGTGTTTGCAGCCAACCCAGTGGGTTGATATGACTTCACAGAATAACAATCACAGAATGGTTTGGGTTGGGAGGGACCTTAAAGATCATCCAGTTCCAACCCCCCTGCCATGGGCAGGGACACCTTCCACTAGACCAGTTTGCTCCAAGCCCCATCCACCCTGGCCTTGAACACTTCCAGGGATGGGGCATCCACAACTCCTCTGGGAAACCTGTACAAGTCCCTCACCATCCTCACAGGGAACAATTTCTTTCTAACCTGCCCCACAAGAGCTGGTGCTGACACAAGGGAGGGGGGCAGGAACATTTCTGACCACCCCTGCTCTCCCACTGCATGGTGCAAGCTCCCTGCGTGGCACAGGGCAGTCCTGGGTGTCCTTTGTCCATGCTTTTTATCCCACTGCTCCTTAAAACGAAATGCTGAGAGCACACTGAAAGCAGGGACTGTGAACACTGGCTGTCCCCGGGCGGGAGTCAAGGCCTGGCTCCAGCCCTGGCCTTCAAATGTGCCTCCAACAACATGCCCCCATCCCAGAGGTGAGTTGAGAGAGCCCATGTCACTGCAGGACACTCTGCTCTGCCTCTCTGGCCTCTCCACTCCTGGACTCTCCCACCCACGGGCTGTTAACGCAATACGAGCCTTTGAGGTGTGGATATAATTCACATTTAATTTGGCAACAGTTTACAACATCTCACAATATTGTAGTGAAGAGGAAAAATCAATGTGTCCAGCAATGATTACTGAAGCATAACAAACTCCACAGAGGAGTAAAAGAAACCCAGCTTCACAGCAGGCCCAAGGATCACTAAATCCAGGCTATTTTGGACTCAAAAAATAAGTTGACTGGAGCAGGTTTAAAAAGACATTAACATTTTTGGTATCAGCCCGTCCTCTCCACCACCAGGGACTGAAAACCCCAGAAAGCCTGATAACTTAAGAAATTAAGCAGATCTATCTCCAAATTCATGTGTGCTGCATTCAAGTAGGACAAAGAGGCAAATAGTGACAACTAACTGGACTCTTCCAGAATTTTTTTAAATTTTTAATAGTCTAACGCATTGTTAGTAACATAGCTGGCATTTCAAAATATATATTATTTTATTTCAACAATATTCCCTTAACTCTGTAGTTCTACTGGAAGAAATAAAAAAAAAATCACTCGCCATAAATACTGAGTTACTGTTCAAAACACTCCTGTGTGTTTGTGCTGGGTTACCTCTACAGTGCAACTGGGACTGGCTAACATTTACAACATCCACTGCCACTTCCTCTGTGTTTAAAAAATGACATTTTTCTATAAAAACACACAGTTTTATTACATTAAAAAAAAAAAAATCCCTACTGTCAGTCGAGTGTGTTTCTACGTGTCACCGGCAAAAGGTGTTCTCTGAGGTCCCTTTTGAGTGGGGTTTCACTTTGGGTTAGAGGGAAATCTGCCACTCAGCAGCTCCTTTCTCCTTCACAGGGTGAGAGCCAGGCTTTGAATGCAAAGCAGCCTGGCTGGGAGCCAGGCACACAGGCAGGGTAGTGTTCATGTATTTTTCATTACAACACAAAAGGAAAGCCGAGTTACATAACACGGGCCTTTGTAGTGCAGCTTTCTTTTTTAATCTGTAACAGGGAAGGGGGGAATCGTGTCCCCATTTAAGACTTCATATGTTGAAAGATGGCTGACACCTGCAGCTGCAAGAAGTCACCTGGCGCCTGGCCACTGATTGCAGTGCCAATGGTGGACTTTTCTTCTGGCACAGATGTTGGGTGTTTTGTCCAGATGTCTGACTGAACCCAACCCAAGAGCTGTACTTCACTAAAAAGGAGTCTCTATCCTCTCGCTAAAAGCAACATTAAAAAAATCTAAATAAAGTGAACTAAAAACACAGCTGGGTTGGTCGAACAGGTACAAAAGGATTCATCTCAACAGCAGCAGTGGGATGTTTCCAGCACGCAGAAGGGAGAAGGTCGATGGCTGTTTCACATCGGGGTCCTACAGAGCACCGTGTGCTGCTCCAGGGAAGGTGCTGGGGATTGGCAGGACCCTGACATTGGCAGAGTTCACACACTGAATTCCTTCCAGGTCTGTAACGAGGTTCACTGTGCCCTGAAGGAGCCGAGCTGCTAATCACAGTCCTGGATATTGATGTACACAAAGAGGGTGGAGGAGGAGTACGGGTCTCCGTTCTTGGTTAGAAGATGGATGTGGCGATAACCTGGAAGCAGAGGCACAGATGGAAAGTGGCCTTTTGTCCAGCTGGAAAAACATTTGCTGACATTTGCCAAGACCCTGCAAAAACATCTCCCTTTCTCAGAGTGTTTTGCTCCCTGTATCCCACAGAACAGGCAGATCCAAGAGGCTTTGATATGCCCAAAGCCACTGGGGACAAGGGGGGCCCTTCCCTAGAGACAGTGTTATCAGCTGCCCAAATAATCTGTTCTGACCTGAGGTATGATGAATCTGGAACACTCAGGACACTGGAACTTCCCAAAGGGTTCAGTGGTTGTGAGGAACAGGGAGCAGGGCCTTACCTTGCTTCAGGCTCGTGAAGGGAAGGGTGTACTGCCCGATGAAGTCGTTCTTGGTCGACATGTCAAAGTCTTCCACCACAAACCGGACCAGGGCGAGTGCAGGGATCTCTATGTCAAATGTAAACTCTTCGTCCCATTTCGGGTTAAAGCCTGGACAACACAGACAAGGATATCAGAGATGTTGGCAGGTAAGGATGGTGGTCAGAGGTGTTGCAAATCAGTGGAGAGACTGCCTGAAAGCCAACCTAATCTGACCCAGGCCAGGGGTCTTAGGAGGTGCCAAGAGCCTTGTTCCCAGCTCCAATACTCATTTGCTCCCTGGTATTAATAAATCCTTCAGCTCAGGCTGCTCGCTGCAGACCTCAGCACCGTTGTCCCAGAAGGCAGTGAGGAGCAGGAGGGAGGGGAACTCAGCTCTGCTCCATATACCATCTGGTACATGGATGTCTTTGCTTGCCATTGGACCAGTTGCATATTGTTACAGCCCTAAACCAGGGGAGAGCAGAGAGGAGAGCTCTGTCTTTGTGTTGTGACAGACTCCTGAGGCCTTAAGCCTCTCCAACTTCTTGAGATACACCCATCTAACCACCATCTGTGCCTCATTTCCCCTGTCTGCAAGAAAGGTTAAAGAGGAGTGTCTGATTACAGAAACCATCATCAAGTCTGATAAGGATCATGTGGTCCAGACTCAAAGCAAACAAAACCAAACCATCGCATCAGATAAGAGGTGGAGAGCAAGCTCGATGCTCTCTCTCCAGGTCACAGGAGGTGCAGTTCCAACAAACCACTCCCCAGAAGCAAACAGGAGGAGAGGACATTCTGTTGGAAAACCTGCTGCCATCGGCAGAGCCTGTGCAGAGCAGAGACCAAGGACAGCAAAACATCCCTGCTGGTCATGAAGGGTTTGTGGGGGATTCAGTAGGAGACAGGGATCCTTCAGCTGGCCCTGGAGGGGTGCTGAGAGGGGCCTGGGGACTGTGCCATAGCACAATACCTGTGCTACATTGGTGTACTTTATTTGGACCCTTCTATGATTAAATCAACTGGACTGTTCACACAAAACACATCTGCTCCAGACTCTTCATCCTTGGGGAAAAAAAACTGTTGCTGAACAAAGTGTTGCTCATCCCATGGGAGCAGAAATCATGAAAGCTGAGGGAGAGTCACTGGCCCTGAGACAGTAGGCTTCACTCTTGTGGAATCTGTGGGGGATTCTCAACCCATCTCAGAGCCACAGTAAGATAGAGATGCTGAGCCAGCAGGTTCCTACAGCCTCTTGAGCTCCATGGTCTGTGTCCTGATCATGCTGTGTCCCGATCTGTCCCACAGCCCCTGCTTCAGTCCCAACAACACAGAATAATAGAATCATTCAGGTTGGAAAAGACCTTTAAGACCATCGAGTCCAGCTGTAAACATCAAACCAGGTGAGCTGTTGAAATGTGATCACATATCTGAAACCTCAGCCCATGAAATGCAAACCCCTCTCTGCAGCTGCCTCTTTCCAACGTGGATGTTTTCATTGTTTGACTCACTTTCCACTGGGCAACACTCCCTCCAGTATCACTCCACCATCATTCCAGTATTGCTCCAGCCAGCCAAGGGCTGGCCACAGGACTGGGAATGCTGAGCAGCCTTGAGGAAAAGGCCTGGCAGTTCTGAAATGTTCCCTACACAACTTTCACTTGACAGGCTATAAGAATTATTGTAGGTGACGGAAATGGCCGTGAGCTTTAGGAGCCAGGCCAGATTTACTCAAACAGGAAAGAGGAAAAGGGAAACATTGTTAGCAGGGAGGAAAATCTGCATCAGCTTTCTAGCATTTGGCTCTTACTCCAGGCAGAAAATCAGAATGTGTGTGTGTATGTGTTTGTGCAGGAGGCCATAATGTTCAGACCCTCCCTGCACAGAGGGAAGTCACAGCCACACTTGAAATGGTCCTCCATCTTTTGAGATATTCAAAATTCATCCAGGCAATATCCTGAGAAACTTGAGTAAACTTTGAGTATGGTCCTGCTTTAGGCAGGGGCTGGAACAGACACACCCAAAGTCCTATGCAACCTCGATCTTTCATGACGTTGTGACACTTTCAGGATAAAATCAGCCCCACAAGAAGCCTTCTCTGGGAATATCGTGGTGGGACCCCCTGCAGCCCAGGTCAAACCCAACTCTGTGGAGGTAAAGAGCACCTCCAAAGCTCTAGCTCTGCAAACCCAGCAGCCAGCCTCAAACAACTCAATATGGCTGATGTCGTTTTACAGGGAATTTCTGTCTCCAAATGTCTTAGAGAGAGAAGAGAGGGAAGAACCTCTCAAAGTCCAACAGCACCTCATGTATCTGCTTAGTGTGGGCATGCAACCTTGCAGGTGTTGCTTGCATGCAACCTGGGCAGGTCTGGTCACAGGGCAGCAGCCTTGGCAAGGAACACTCTGCTACATGACATGGAAGAGTCATGGGAGCACAGCTCGGAAGAAAACCCCTTACCATTGTTTTCAATGACTTTGGTCTGTTTCTTGTTGTTATCCTGTTGGACACCATGGATCTCTATCGTCACCTTGGGATCAACAATGGAGTTTTTGCTTTTGTTCACCTTGGGCAGTTGCTGACCAGAGATGATCTGGGGAGGAAACAGAGAAAGAGGTTAGGAACTCATCAGGAGAGGGGGCTCCCTGGAAAATTCCCTCTCCTTCTCCGGGAGCACAGGATCTGCTGTGACAAGCTGGTGCTGCTCTTTCAGAGCCGGTGCTGCTTTTTCAGAGCTGGTGCTGTGACATCCTTCAGAGGAAGCTGTCATGAGTCAAAGCACCTAAGGAACACTGCTCCAGCCCAGCCAGCTGGCTGGGGGACAGGCAACTTTTCTAACTGTCCCCACAGTGCTCAGGTGACACTTGGGAACAGCAGAGGTGACTGTTGATTGCACGTCTGCCTGTACGTCTCTGTAACGACAGTGAATATTGTCATTAACCTCTTCTACTGCCCAGCACTAAACACGTGAGTGGGTCCCTGGAGGATCAAAGTCCATGAGAGACCCCAGAGGTGGGAAATCAGTAGGGTTACGACAACATTGCCCAGGTGGGACCAGAAGAAGGAGAAGGTACAACCTACACGCCCCCCCGAAGGTGGATGCTACTGAGACGATTCCCGACTTCTATTCTTACTTTAAGCAGGAGCTTCTTCTTTGTCCCCCATGTTCCTTCTGTGATGGATTTTGGATTGAATTTGGTTTGCTCATCCCGGAGGAATTCCGGCTTTAAGACATACCCAGAAAACCCATTGTCCTGGAACCGACCCTGGTAGACATCCATTTCTGTGCCTGCTGTCTGGAAATTCAGGGCAACTGCAACATAAATAAATAAATTCAGCGACTCTCAGACAAATCAATGGGAAACTTTTCATACCAATTCTGTTCACATGAAGTTGCACTTCATGGACATAAACATTGGATTTTCCACACTTCAAAGAGCAGGGATAAACTTTCACCCTCACAGCCTGCTGCCCCTGAGGATTTCTTGCATTCAGAGATGACAGAGAGGAGAGGAGCCATTACAGCCATTCTGCTTTCTGCAGGATCAAAAAGTGTCCTGCATGGAATTTATGCCATCTAGTTGAGCAACTGCATCTTTTAGATAAACCTCCTCATTTCTATGCTGAAGGAGTTCTCTCCTGCAGTGAAGCCAGAAAATCCTTCTCAGATCATTTCTCTGGCTACTCAGCCTCATTATAAAACCTCTTTTCCAGCCCAGATCTGCCTATTTTCATTTGCCATCCCGAGGGGCATTGATGCCTCTGTTGGTTAGACCAGAGAGCTCCTCACACTCTGAACTCCTCAGGTAGGAGTACAGCAGCCACGATTAAATCACCTCTTTATTGTCTCCTACCCAAAATAGATCAAGCCTCACTGGTGTCCTAACACCGGGCAGATTTCTTGTATTCTTCCCAATTTGTCGATATCTTTTTTAAAAGCATTGATGTCAAATCTGGAACACTCTCTGTGAACAGTCTCACTAACACCACACAGACCCCAGCAGCTCCTCAGTGCTCTGTTGATTTCTCAAGGATGATTTTAACTTCTTTAGCGACATCTAAGACATCTCTTAAGACACAGCAATTTATCCTGGTGCTGGGTCCTTCATACCCTGTCATACATGAAGGCCAAAAGCATTTTAAGGCACTCCCTTATTTTTCCACCTGCAGCAAGACTTTGGTAACTGCAGTGTATTGGTTTCACTGGGAGTGCAAGCACTCAGGTCTTCTGAAAAATCTAATTTAGAGTGCCCAAATACTGCATTCAGGTCAGATAAGGCATGCAGGTCTCGCCTTACTGTACCCCAAGGGAACTGATGCTGCCTCCCAAAGACTCTCCTGAAGGTCAGACAGGCCAATGGGTGACACTGTGCCTCCATGGGGCCTGCAGGACCCACCAAGTTCAAATGCTGCCAGGCACATCCAGCCCATGTGGGTCTACACAGCTGGAGGCCAGGGTGCCCTACACCTGCAGCTTCTCTTGTCTGGATGGGCCGCAACTGGGACACCTCCAACATCCAAGAGAGCCAAGCATGCCATCACCAGCCTGCCCATTTACCACTGCACCGGGTTTCCTGGGTGAGAGCTACAACAGAATTCACTTGACAGGCACTGGGTCTTTTATTTTCATCTAAGTTACAAACACACTGTCAGAGGCCTCAACCCCCTGGGAGTATTTATGATGAGCTGCTCTGACTACAGGGAACAGCTCAGGACATGGCTTGGCCCTTATGGTTACAGCCTTGCTGAAGGGCTCAAGAGAGCTGAGCTCTGCCAGAGATTTTCAGCACATCTTCCAGCAAGAGACTCTTCACTCCTGGCTCCCTCTTCCTTTGTGAAATGGCAGCAACTCCACTAACAGTGAAATTGCAGGGACGTGCACACTAATGTGCAGGAAAGACCCTCCTAATGGACTTGTGGTGAGCCAGAAAATGTCTGTGGAAAGTCACTGAGCATTGGCTGCAAAAGGCTTGAGATTGCACATCCACCTCAACTGAAGCCCCTCCACAGACAGTTCATCTGTGACTTAGTCAGCCTGACCCTCTCCAACCTCCCAGCTGCACCCACCAATCTGGCAGCCAACATTCCACAAGTCCACGGGGTTGTAGTTGGAAGAGTCTGTCCTCCAGCCTGCAGGGTAGATCCGGCTCAGGTGCCTGATGTTGTGATGAATAAAACTGGTTCCTACAGAAAAAAAAAAAAAGAAAATGGCCCTATAAGTGATGGGGGCTACTTTTGTCTCTTCTTGATGCTGCTGTGTATCCTCCTCCTCTGCCTAGCAAGTCTGGCTGAATGGGAACTACCTGTATAAATGCCTTTCTTGGTAACAGCCTCCATGATAGTAAGTTTTTCCCTCTGTTTCTCAGTGACGTGCATTACCACAGAGATCATAACCCATGTCTTGCAGAACACCATTTCCTCATGCTTAACCACCACTAGCTGTCCCTTTCTGGGGGACTGGGACAGAGGGTGGCCTTTTGTCAGGGCAGAACACACATACCAGACTCCTGGGCCAGTTTCAGAGCTTTGCTCTCTGAGAATGACGACATCTCATAGAAAGCCCGAGGATGGCTGGGGTCATCAAAGCCTTCAAAATGGACACTCTTGCAGTAGACAACTGTGTCTGACAGCTCCTTGGCCAGCTTCAAAGTATCACTCTGAAAAACAGGACAGCAAGAGGTTTGCAGGGAGTTTCTGCAGCCAAAAGTAATAGTTGTGTTTTCTCTAGGACCCCTGGGGCTTCCCTTCTCCACCGTCTTCACAGGGAAAGGATGCACACTTCCAACACTCAGTGGCGTCCCTATGGAGAGAGGGGGTGGAAAAGGATTCTCTCTTTGTTGGTGTGATACCCTCCCTGCTGCTCTCTGCATGATCACTTGTATTTCAGCACCAGTGTCTGTCTCCAGGTGCTAAACTTTGTAACGGAGCCCTAGCAATGACTTTTCTGCACTGTCCTGGTCCCAAGCATGCAAACCCAGGAATAAGGGGAAGAGAAGGATGTTTTGGCCTCCACAGAGCTTGGGCTTTTTTTTTTCCCCCTCAAACTAGAAAGTTCTCACAGTGCTATGATGCTTCCTACTCCACAGCCACATTCATTAGTGTAAGGATGAAGTGAGAGCCACCAGCTCCCATCAGAGGCAAGAAAAGAAAGGGACAGACTTCAAAATCATGCACATTACTTTACACAGTTCAGAGAAAGAAGTAAGACCCTTGAAGAGTGAGCAAATCAGCCAGGGGAAGCACAGACCAGACCAGACCCAGAGGCAGCTTTGCCATCAGTGGAGACTGAACATATCTGTGTCACCTCTGAGCCTGCTCCCCAAGGGATATGGCCTTCACAAGGACCTGCAGTCTGGAAACTGAATGTCCTCACACGAGGGAGCAAAACATTGGTGTAAAGGTCAGCATTTTCTCCCCAGAAATAGTCATACAAATTGCTGTAGGAACTGGCCACCCCTTCCCCACAAATCCATAGCTCTTCCCTCCCTCCCTCCCCCAGGTCAGAAACACACAGACCATGAGGGTGTAGGTACATCCCAAAATGTGACTAGAAAGGCACCAAACGAAGTCACGACGGTCCCATAACAAACAGATTTCTGGAAATCAGGCAGACAGACTGAACATGTGCCCTTCCACTGCCTCCAAAAATGCTACATGGTCTGTACCAGCTGCAGGGTCCTCCGGCCTCATTTTAGAGGAAGAAGCCAACCTTCCTGCTTGGCTGGCTCTGCAATCTCTGTTTGTGCCTGGGACAGAGATCATTAAGCTGAGCAAGCACCAGGATCCTCAGCTCCAGCAATTTCAACAATTCACACGTACAAATCCCCAGCTGAGCAGCTGAAACCACACTGAGAACTGTCTTAGCTGGGAACATATTAGAAGTATATTTCAATGGCTTTTCCTTTTTTATTTCTTTAAGCACAGTACAAAATCCATCTAAGAAGTGGCTTCCCAGCAGGAGTCATGGGACAGGCTAACAAGATGGGATTTCTTGATAAAGGACTTCAGAGCCCTCTGCAATAGGAAAAGGTTTAAAGCTTTTCTGTCTCTCCAGATCTGCCCCTTTCCAGCACTGTTACTTCTCTTACTTACCTTCCCCTTCTGCTGTACTTCAGTCTTCACAGATTCATCTTCAATTTCAGCTGCTTCATCTTCATCAGAGACATCCTCAGCCTCCAGGTTGTTGTTCCCATTTGTGGGGTCCTCCTGCCTGCTCAGCTTCTTGCCTTTCACAAGGATCTTCCCTTTCAATTGCTGCACAAGGAAAAGGGGAAAAAATAGCTGGTGAGTAGAAAAGGTTCTAGTCCACCCTGAAGAAGCTCCTCAGCTGCAACCAGGACCTTTTAGAGCTGCATCAGTCAGTGGTTATTATCCATAGATACAGGTAAAAATAAGTCTGTTTCTTCACTGAGGCTCTGCCCAGCCTCTGAGATCTCAAGCCATGAGTCTGAATACCCCAGAATGCCCACTCTGAAATAGAGCTGACCATCCCCTCAACTAGACAACTAAAACAGTTGTGCAGTTAAAGGCAATCAAAATATACTTTTTTTTTCCAAGACTGAATGTGGCTCAGCAAACAGGGTAAAGCTTGGAGGTCAGGGCTCATGGGAGTTCTTTGTTGCACTGTTTCTGCCCCTCTGTTTGGTCTGCTATTTAATCTACCCCACAGTCAGCAATGTATGGTTATAAACACAATGTATGTTTAAAAGCACAGCTTGGGAAACTTTATGAGATCCAAGCAGGGACTGAAGCAGTTCAGCCCTCTGTTCCAGCAGATATTTTGATGGGGAGAGAGGTCCATTAAGTTCTGGACAGGTGTTTCATGCACAGCAGACATGGAATTTTAATAGGTAAGGATTTTGCAGGTGAAGCCTTAGGATGCTGACAGCCTAAGGAAGAGTTCCCAGACCCTTTCCAATGACACCTCCTCTTCTGCAAACAGCTTCTCCTGTGACTGCTGCCATGGTACAACACTGATCACAATCAGCAGCATGTGCCAGTGTAACACAGCTGGCTGCTGAGTGAATCCAAGGAGCACATCCCTTGTGCTGATCGATTCTCTCCAACCTCTTTCAAGGTTCACATAAAACCCTCAGGTGAATGAACACACCAGCAGGTCATAGTCACTCACAGACCACCACACCATTGAAGTATCTCTTGTGGGAAGAAGGCTGGAGCCTGGAGAGGGATGAATTTGAGCCCAAACCAGGCAGCAGCAATGCTGGCAGCAGGGAGAAGTACTGAGAAGGGTGTCTGAGGGCAATCTCTAAGTGAGCAGGTTATGCCTTAAAATTAGGAGCACCATGAGACCCTGAAGCTTCCAGAGAAGTCAGCAGGAGATTTGCTGCCACCTGGATGTGTTTGGTACTCCTGGCTTTGGAGTGTGCTAGTTATTCCAGAAAAATTCAATCTTGGAATTAGCCAATACGATCCCTCAGTCTGTGTAGCACATTCCCCTTTCCTCAACAACACCCTGTATTTGTCTTTTCTGCAACAGCAAAAGCAGCAAACATCACCACACTCAAATGACAGGACTTTGGAAAACCAAGGACCTTTTATAAAGCAACACAGGCATTCTCAAAGGACACAATTTCCCCCCCTTTGCACCCTTTGTGGGTGCAAGAAAATCACATCACATCTTTACAGAGACCAGCCCAACTCCTCACCACCCAGTGAAGCCATGGATGAAGCTTGGTTGGAGCAGAAATTTGACACTGGCATCTGAGGCAGCAGCCAAGAGCGTTTTTATTCAGCTACCACAAATGTTCTGTTTACACTGGGGCACTTTCCCTGTCACTCAAAAGCAGATGGAAGGAATGTACCAGTTATTTGGAATAAAAGGTCCAAAGGAGCAGTCAGAGCATGGCAGTATTGTCCTTCCCATCCCCAGACCATCCTCCCAGCTCTCATCCCTCTTCCAGGCAGAGTTGTGACCTGCTTCTTTGCATCCATGGCTGGGAGATGAGTCGGCTCATCTTCAGACTCTCACTTCAGTCTGCTGCTCCCATGACTCTTCCCACTCTCCTACCTCAACATCCAGCTCCACACTCTTCTTCCACAACAAAATCCAGTTCTGTGTCAGTTTTTAGGCTCTAGTCAACACTTGGAATGGACAATTCTGGAAGGATTGCACTGGGGATAGTAAGCAGGGTCTGAGGGCAGTCCCTCTCGTCCTTTGCAGGCTGCAGATACTATCCTGATACTTCATATATATTATTTGCCTCTGCTTTCTAATGACCCATAAGAAACATTACCACCTTATCTCACAACTAGTAGAGAACAAGGATAAGGAATTCGGGGCAGATATCTTGATTCTTAATTATCAGTAGGTAATTAAGCTTTTTAAGCTTATGCCATTCAGGACAGCAAATGGGAGGTGTGATTTCTGGTACAGACTCATCCTACAAGGCTGAATAACATCAGCAACAAAGCCACAGGAACACAGCCTCCACCATCCTCAACACACCCTGTGCCAGGGCTGCTGTTATCCTGTCTAGCCTGTGGTTATTCTGGGAAACCCTGGATATGCTGCAGATGCTCCCCATGGGCACAGGGACACTGGTTCCTCCCCATTGTATCCCCCCAGGCAGGTAATTTCCACTGTGCCTACAGGGGAGAGCAGCCCATGTGCCACCTAACTCAGAGGAGATGCATTTGCTTGTTGGTCCACAACAGGAGGTGAGATTCACCCCAAAACAGAGCATTTTCATTCCCATTCCATGAAAAAGGTGCTATTTTACAGTAGCACTGCACTGAATCCATCCTGCAGAAGCTGCCAGTCTTCCTTCAATTAATATGGGTGCTATGAAGCAAAGTCCCAAATCTGAGTTTATCTTCTTTAATAAGGTTTTAAATAAGCTGATACACACAGACACAAACACACAATGCCTTTGCTTCATTTCTCTTGGTTCCCCTCCATGTAGTATTAAGTATTTCTAGCCTGAGGCAAAAGACACTCAGCTCATCAGTTCAGCTCTGTTGAGTAGATCCCTTGTCTTAGGAGGAAGCATTAGCTGAAATACTCAATAAATATTCTCCAAGTAGACCATAAAGCTATTCCAACTGTGTCTGGCAAGCCCAAGGTTGAGTACAACCTAAGGAAAGGGTACAAGGACACTGGATTCCACTGAGAACGTGCAGTGGAGTGGTTGCTGGAATAAATGCAACTCTTGCCCTTTTTCACATTCCCTGTAAATGGCACTGTCTTATTTCTCCACAGGTGGAGCTCCCCTGCTCTCCCACCTTTTCACTGCATGCTGAACAAGCTCAGCTCTGCAAGTGAAATGGTTCTGACATGTGGTATTGCTTCCTTTTGGGAGTCTGTGGATTGGCACATGGTAGCCAAGGAAGCACTGCTGATTTTATCAGCAGCAGCAGAGCTGTAATGAGCATAGAATTCTAAAAGATATGCATACACATGTTTATCCCACCTGAAAGTTCCCTACCCCCCAATAGCAACCTGAAAGCCAGAGCAAGGTCTGAGTTCAGTTTTCATCTCAGTGGGAATGGAGGATTTGTAACGTGATCCACCTCATCAAACTCTCTGGGCTTTCAACACCTCCTTCAGAGTCAACACAGAGAACCAAACACTCCCAGGGTGTGATTCTTCTCATCTATTTGGACAAACACTTGCGAGGAGGTGGACCACACCTCCAGCTCCCTCTGACTGTATTAACTGTTTCTCAAAGGAGCCCTAAGTAAAGTGCTCACACACACATGAATATGCAGGGTCTGAGCATTGCTACCTTACATCCCATTCTCAGGGTGAGGATACCCATCTCTCCAGACTTCTGAGAAGCTATGAGGAATAACACGTTCACATTCATGAGGAGACACACCTGATACACTGAGGAGCTGCCTGCAGCACTGGGAGCTGTTTTAGTCTCGTTCCAGGACTGGGGCTTTGCAGCATTTCTAGCTGGGATGCAGGGATAAGGGGAGGGGGCCGGGCAGAGCCCTGTGCAGATCAGGGACGGGGCAGAAGGGCAACAAGGAACACAGACTGGATCAGCTCCTCCCTACAACCCTGGCACTGCCTGGAGCTTTTATGTGGCTTTTGGCCTTTCATCCTATAGCCTTTAATTTACTATTGGGACCTAAAGACAGCAGCTTGAGGGAGATATTTAGACAGGCTGTGTAGCCCAACGCTGTTCCTGAATGGAGCCTAATAAATCAGGCTCCTGCCTCGGGCTGTGGAATGAATCGTTAGCACAAATCCAAACCGCGTCAATCTCCCTTTAATTACTGACATTGCCCCGCTAACACAACAGGCAGCAATCCTTCCACTGTTTGTATTTACAGCCTTTCAGCCCTCTTCCCAGTGACAGATCCCCCCCTTTTTCTGATATAAAAAGTACCATGTTGTCCCAGGCTTCCTCACATCAACTTTCATGAGGGAGTGGAAAAGCCAAGAGGCTTCTGGTTTATTGGTTTAGGTTTTTGTCCTTAATGTTTCAGTTTCAACGTATTTTTCACCAAAAAAAATCAGCATTTCAGCCCTTTGCACTCTCCTAGTTCACACAGCAAGAAGGCAGAGGAAAAGTATCAGAGAGAAAAGGACAGGTCTTGATACATTGGCAATTTTTCTCCAATTAAAACTAAACGGATCAATCCCTCCAATGGAGCATATTGGCCCAAATCCATGCACTAAGGTAGATCTGGGCCATTGTGTTCCAGCTGGGGCCACGTGTCTGTTTGGGCAATCAAAGCAGAAGGTTGGATGAACATAGGAATGGGAAAAACATCTTTGGGAAGCTGGGGTCGTCCCCTTACACACACAAATCACACTTTTCTTTCCCAGGTGTTTCTCCTTTCTTTTATCATATCATTGCCCTGGTCATAAGGCAAGAGTTGTGAAAAGCCATCAGCAGCTCTCCTGATGGCTGCACCAGGATAAACAGCAAGTCAGGAGGGGACAATGAAGATACTTATTTTTCCAAGTCAGTAACAGTCTGCAGAGACCTGTCTCCATGCTGGGTGTACCTCACCTGGCAGTCACTTCTCTCAATGGAGTCACCTTGTCTGTGCCAGAGTTGAGGTCCTGCTGAAGCAGCAGCATTAAAAATCATGATTCATCCTAATTTATTGCCCTGGTGCTTAGGGACCAGCCCAGATCAGCTTCCCTCTGTGCTGGGCATTGTATCAAATGAGGCACGACACTCCCAAACAAAAGGGGAAAGTTGGAAAAGGAAAACAGATAAAGGAAGATGGAGAACAAATAGAAGATATTTTGGGTGGATGGTTTTCCTCTCCTTTCTCCCCTGATGACTGCCAGCCTTATCCCACTCACAAACTCCTTCCAGCTCTGGGTAGGCAAGCTCATCCAACTTTTGGCAAATGATTTCTTTAGCAAAGAAATGCAATCTAAAGGGAACTGCAGCTGCCCACACAAACTTTGCCTGTTTCTGCAAAGTGCTTGAGAGAAAAGGAGGAAAGGAGGAAGGAAAGAAGGAAACAAAGAAACAAAGTAACAAGAAAAGAAAACACAAACGAAAGGGCAGATGAATATTTCATTTGGCTTCTGTTTTGGAAACTTTTTTTTCCATATCAAGATTTCATTTTCATTTCTCCCTAATTATCAGCTAATGATTTTAAAGTGGTGGCCCACTGTTGAGGGCTGTGTATCTCCTTCCCCTTGCAAGGTCAGGGCTCAGCTCCCAGCTTGACAGCTGCCCTGATTCATGGGAATGAATCATGGGAATGAAAGCAGGCAGCCTCCTGCTTTCCCTTGTCCTTCATGGACATCTCCATCCCCACCACCCCAGGCCACTCTCAGTGCTTGATACAGTTTTAGGCTACTTTTACTGGTTTTCCCCTTGAGTTTTGAGCTTTGCACTCAGCAAGAACACAAATTTCCCTTCTTGTCCCACCTTCAGAAGGCAGTGCTAGAGTGACTTTGCTTACCTCTGGGGAGGGGAACTGGGATTTGTTTCCATCCACTGGGGCAACCAAGAGCATGTCCTGGAAGATTGTTGTCATGTGCTGAGCCATGACCTTCTGCTGGTCGACACTGCAGTGGTTCTCCAGGGAGATGATGACAGGGTATGGTGACGTCTAGGACAAGACAGCAACACACACCATCAGTGAACTCTGCAATACCACCAGTCTGTAGCAATTGGTGTAAACCTCAGTGCTGTTTTCTCAGGAAATGAGTGTCAACTGTAGGGTCTAAATTCTGCTAAAATGAAGATTTGTTAAAAATGGACAAATTTAACAACGCAGTAGCTACTCAGATCTCTGCTGATGCCTTCCAGAGATGATGATCCAATGGACAGGGCACCAGGGCAGGTCAGGATGTCTCCCACAGACTTTCTGGGGCACTTTGGTGAAGCTCCCTTTGCCTCCATTCTCCACTTGCACTGTGGGTCCGAGCACCTTCCTACCTCAGAGGAAAGACTGGGGAAGGGGGCTTTGAAATCACGGGGTTTGCTCAAATCCTGAGGTGACATGAATCCTTCCTCCATCCCTGCATAGGCCTGATCTGGTTCCCTGTGCTCCCCAAGGCATTCTGTGTGCTGAAGGCATTGGCATTATTGTCACTGTCACTCCTTTATAGCCCCAAAGGGAACTTGCTGCCAGCTCCCAAGTGCACTGAAGGAAAATAGCAGAAAGCCCAGTGAGTCTGTACAGACCCAAGGTTTTTCTGAAGGCTGCTGGCCCAGCACTGCCATACAAGACTCCAGACCTGCTCATTCCTTTTAAAGCAGAGTAGAAGTAGTCCTTCACATCTAAAGTGTGGGTTCCCCTAAACTAGAAACAGACTCTAAGACATCAAAGCCACATAAATTATGGGCTTGTTTGCCTTTCCCACCAGGTAGGGTCAAGATATTGGGTATCACTTTCATTGCAGTGGGGTCCAGGATGCAGCTGTGCTGGTACACATTCAGATTCATCCTTGGATATGCTCTGCCTGACCAGCAACTCCCAGGAATGGATCTCTGCAGGAAGCACAGCACGGATGCCTGGACAGGACACATCTTGTCCCCATGAGAAATAAGGTGAAGCCTTCATTGTTTCTGCTCTCTGCTGGGAGGGCAGAGATCTACTGTCAGTCCTGGACTGTGCAGCATGAGAAATCTTAGAGGGTGCCTCGTCCTTACTTTGAAAGCATAGTTCTTGATGGCCTTAATGACATCACTGAAGAGGATCTTGGAGGTGAGGGTGTAGCCGTGATAAATGACGGGCTCTGAGTTGGGGCCATCCCAGCAATCCAGCTCCACACAGCGGCAGCCTTTGGTGAGGGCTCTGGAAACAAAGAAGGGACCTGGTTGGGTTCTAAACCTTCTGCTCCATCTCAAAAAGAGGGTACATCAGGCACAGGTACTGCCTGGGAAGACTGACAGGAAGTTTGGGGAGCAAGGGAGAAAAAAGGAGCTTGGAAAAACAGGAAAGCAGAGAGAGAAAGGATGGGATCAGAAGAGCTCAGTGTCAGCAAAGATAGCTCAAGGTTGAGCAAGGAAAGCACAGTAGGATCTGAGAAAGAAGGCAGTGGAAGTCCAAGCTAGAAATATCCAAAAGGCAAGACAAAGCAAGTGCCAGATGAGAAAGGACACTCATGACTGTGCCCCAAGTCTTTCCCCAAAGACGGTGAAGAGAAGAGAAAACCAAGAGTGGCTGCATTGGAAGAATGACAGTAAAACAGTCAGCCTTAGAAGCCAGGTCACAAAGCCTGGATGATGTGAGTTCTTCATCTAGATCTGATACAACATGAGAGATGAATCCTCAGAGCTGTGAGGGAGGGAGCTGTGGGAACTCCACCGTAGCTGGGAAGACTGCTGAGGACCAGTTTCCCAAGCTGAGTCTATAGACTGAATTTCCACTGGAAATTCCCACCTCTACATATCCATACTTTCATTTTAATTCACTTTCAAATGCAGGTTCCCCCCTTACCTGTCTAGGAGGTGATGTCATCTCTTTTACAGTAACTCCCTAAGCATTTCAGATTACACAACTCATTTCACTCTTTGCAATAGAATCATACAATACGAGAGTGGTTTGGGTTAGGAGGGATCTTATCCCGTTCCAACTCTCTGTCACAAACAGGGACACCTTCCACTAAATCATGTTGCTCAGAGCCCCATCCAACCTGGGCTTGAACACTTCCAGGGATGGGGCATTCACAGCTGCTCTGGGAAACCAGTTCCAGAATAAGGGGATTTTTATTTTATTTTTTTTTACAACCAAAACATACATCTATAATTTTAAGATACTGTAAGAGGAATTCAAACAGCTATTGGAAAGCAACTTTTTCCAGATTTCACTCCATACAGTTTTGGCCTCTTGAGTCTAGACAGTCATTGCTCCTGAGAATCAGGTAAGTCATAAACAAAGACAGAATTGCAGTAATTGAGTTGCTTGTAAGGAAACACTGTCTCACCTGATAAAAGCAGGTCACAGCAGATGTAAGGTGGTTGTGCAGGTTAGTAAAGGTCACTGCACTCATCAGGCCATGAGACATCTGATAACAGACGTTAAAGGCAGAAGGAGGCAACACCTAATGTTCTGTCCAGGAATGCTGTGGGAACATCTGAGATGCTAGAGAGGGACCAGGCATAAGTTTCCTGGCTCCTTCCAGTCCCTACACTGCAGTTCTATGCCAGAAATGTTTGCATCCTGGAAGTTCCTTGCAATCTCATGTGCCGTATTCTGGGGAATGCAACATACCCCCTCAGCACCATGCTTTGAAAACACTGTGCCAGAGGGCTGCAATCCAGCCCCCACATGGTTGCAGATATTTTAAACTCCCCTCAAAATGTAGTAATTATACATCTTACAGTCAGGAGGACACCACATGGGGCCCAGCAGAGACCCAGGTCAAAGTGCTATGAAAAGGGGGGGCACAGCTCACCCTGGTGTGAACATGAGTCAGTCCACATTACCTGGTCTCAGGGTGCGAAGTTGCTTCTTGATCCTCTTGCATCTAGCAGTATAAATGCACCTTATGTCTTCTATAAGAAAGAGGACAACCTCCCCCACACACATAAACACACACACACACACACATACTGTACCTGATATAGGCTTCTGTGCTGCTCGGACCTGTGATCTGGTCTTCCATGAGATAGGTATTGTGTGAGGATGACACCAAGTAGTGACTGAGAGGTTGGGTCATGTCCTGGTACACTTTACGGTGGGAGGAGTTGAATATATCCCCCTCATCAGACAGCAGGTACATCAGGAAGCCGTCTTTGGTCATGGCGTTACCCCTCTTGGCTGCCAGACAAACAGACAGAAACCCCTCACTGAAAATCTGACACCGCCAGGTTGTGCCGTCATCTCCACCGCGATTCCTGCTGCTCTCCAGGGGATGTCAAAGGCAAAAATGTGCTCCCTGGGCATCCAGCTAATAGCAGAGGTACTGATGCTGCTCACAGGACAACGACAGCTTCATCTGCCTGAAAATGCTTTTAAAACCCATTCACAAGCGTGGCTTTTTATGACACTGTCCTTGATAACGTCTCAGAAGTGTCAAAGACAGTCCTTACCTCATCTGTCTCTAGGGACTTACAGTATAAAAATCTCCATTTGAGCATTTCAAGGTTTCTCTGAACCCAGAGAACTTGTCAGATGTCTAAACACAGCCAGATAAATCTTGTCTAGATTATCCAATGAATACATGACTTGCAAACACAAAATTATCCCCAACTTTAGTGTGGAATTGATTTCTCCCCGTCTTGAGGGACTGAGAGAGACCTCAGCCTAATCCTAAAGTCTGACAGTTCCAAAGCCTTGTCCCTCTCCTGAAGGAACACCAGGGTAGTGCAAAAACAGCCCATGATCCTGAGTTGGTTCCCTGAACATGTCCTCAAAGGTGCCCCAGACTGATGATTCACCTACATTCTGAGCAGACAGACAGTTCTGTGATTGCCTCCCCTAAACAGCTGCCATATCCTTGGCCCTCAAGTCACAGATCTCATTACTTATTGGCTTTTCAGGTGCCCATGTTTAAGACCATCTGCCTCCATTCCAGCTTCTGGAGAACAGAAATGTTGCTACATCCTCAACCTTGAAAAGCCACATGAGGTCTTGGCATTTGAATAACCCATCCAAGTCTTTCCTTTGGGATTTTTATCACCCTCTGGCCAACTCTGTACCAATCCCTCTCCAGCTGCACAGTGTACCCAAACTAAAACTGAAGAGAGCTATTTCCCAGCACTGCTCTGCCCTCCTCTCCTAGAACTGCTAATGTTGTTCCCCTAGGAGACTGGTATTTTAGAAGCAGCTGCGAGGAGAAAATAATGCACGCAACCACAGAAGAAAGGGGTAGTAACACCATTCATAGTTCATCAAAAAAGCAAGATTTTGAACCAAACCAGCCAAGGTTATCAACCTACCTCTTTCATTGGGCTCATATCTCTGAATTAAGGCAGGGGCAGCAACAACAGCATCTTCTTCCTGCTGCGTCTCATAGAGGAACCTCACCAGGTTCTGGCAGGACATGAACCCGTCTGCATCTGAGTACATTTGGAAGATGTTGTCTATCTCCCTCCTCTCAGTCAGTATCTTGTAAAATTCCTCTATCTCATCATCCTCCAGAGCCTCTGTTTTGGACTTGTCACAGTGCTGTAAACGTAGAGGGGAGAAGGAGTGAAAACCTTCTTTCCTTCTGGCATACGCCAGCCGTAATCTGCACCAGGGCTACACAACGCAGAACACAAAATAATTGGAGACAGTTACTGCCCAGTGAACGAGAAGCACTTGGTCAATGACAAATGGCTCTCACTGACAAGGCCAACAGTCATACAACAGTTACAATTGTTAGTATTTACTCATATTATCAGTGTGACCAAAAGCCCCAGGCGTGGCCCTGAGTTCCATCACACAGGGTGCTGCGCAAACCTTAAGTCAGAAGGACAGCTCAAGATAATTAAAGCACAGATCAAGGTTCAAGAGAAATGTAACTCTTGATCTCAGCTCTCCTAAACTATGGATAGAGATTGTGGCCTAAAATCCAGTAAGTGAAGTGAAAAGGACCTTGACCTTAGTGGGTCTGAGCTCAGGGCTCAGGAGGTGGCCAAGTAATAGGGCTGGTTGTAAAGATGGCATCAAAACCAACTTAAAAAAAAAACAAAACCAAACCAAAACAAAAAAACCAAACTACTAAATATGCATATTTAGGTATGAAAAAAAATCCATCTTTCCATGGGCATTTTCCATTCTCATCGAAAACCCACCAAGTAACAAACTCTCCAGAAAATTTCAAATCAGATACCATCCTGGCAAGGAGCTGTAATTCAAATTCTCCATGCCCCCATGTTCCTCTGAGGTTTGAAACTTTCCTCTAGATAAAAGCTCTGACAGAGCACCATAGCCAAGGACTTGATTGGCCATGAATGACTAGGAGCTTGGGATATGCATTTTAGTGTCTCTGTGAAGGACAACAGCTTTTCCAATAACAAGTATTTCCAGCTTGTGTAAAATACTCCCAGGTTCAATTTTTCATTAGAAAATGACAATTCTTTTTCTGTGGCAAATCCTGATATTAATTTTGTTGTTTGTTCCTAGCAGAATTCTTCAACTTGTCAAACCAGAGGAATTAAACTGCTTTCCATCTTTGATCCCTTGTGACAGACTGAGTTGTTTTCCTGGCTTTTATGGCCAAAATGCTTGTCTCAGTTTAACCAGTCATGATACTAATCTCATCCTAGCTCTGCCAATGATCTCAGTGGTGGCCACGGTGGCTTTGGCAGCACCCCCAGCAAGATGATGAGGGACTTTCATCCTCTGCAAATCCTCCACTGCAGTCCTTCACTATCTGTTTAGGTAGCATATATAAACCCAAAGAAAATTATCATGATGCCCAGCATTTCACAAACTGAAGTGACAGAAAAAAAAAAAAAAAGAGTTCAACTTGTCCTGACTTCTGAATCTGCTGAATAGAAGCTACGGGCTCATCTCAGGGATGGGACAACCTGTGACATGCTCAGTACTACCTTCAAATTATGTTTGAGAGTCCAGGAACTGCCTTTTCCTTGCTGCCTTCCATGTCTGTGCTCCTGTGCTGTGGCCTTGGCTGATCTCTCGAGCTAAGCTGAGCATGATGCTCAGCAATTGCAACAGGAATATAAAGAGGGAGAGCACCTGGTAGAGACTGTGGGGATGTGAATTACAGATGTTCTTTGTGTTAAGACATGAAGGGGAAAATGACAGGATATTACTTCTACAAAACTGGCATTTTAAGTGATCTGCCTTGGGAATTTTGTTCATGAGTGGCTATTAAAGGTTGTGATGAAAAGAGGACAATAGGGTTGGCATCATAATCAAATGCCAGGATAGATCAGATGAAAACAAGATCAAATTCTAGGACAGATCAGATGCATGGTATAAAAGTGGGTTCCTTCTGCTTTGGCTGCAAGCTCTCCTAATTAGAAAGAGACCCTCAGCCCAAAACCCTGTGTTTTGCCTCACATGTCTGTATCATGAACTGTAAGTACTGAATGATCCTCAGCCTGCCACAAAAAGCACCTTCCTGATGCACCAGAGTGAATATTCAGGTTGAAATGAAGTGAGCAATGAGAGGAGCTTTGCACAGTTTCTGGTTGCATTGCATATGTCTTACTCAGGTGTGTTTCAAACCCAGATGTGGACACATTATGTGATGGAAGGCAAGAATAATGTGCAAAGTTGCCCTGTGGCCCTCTCTTGAAGTTCTGATCACCCTTCCTTCCTGTGACTAAATGAAGAAAAACTCACCAAGGCAGAAAAGACCACCCTGTTAATAGGCTCTAATGTCTCAGCCCATCTAAGCTGAGGCAGGATGTAAACTGAAAATGTAATTGCTTTAGGAGCAAGACAGGCTCTTCCTGGAGGCAAATCAGCCCTCAGGAGATCTGAATTAACCTCCAAAGAGCCTCTCTTTCCAGTGGCTATACAGGAAACTTAACAATTACGTGCCTAATGGTGGAACCTCAATGACCTGTCTGCATTTCGAGGGGTTGAATCAAGGTTTAGCAATTACTTGGAGTCCTTAAGCAAAAAGAATTGAACTTCATCAAGTTTCTTCTCCTAAAGCTCCCTTGTAACTATTGTTACAGCAAAAGAGGTTCATTAAATGAGAGGCAACTGTGCCTCTAAAATAAAGGTTTGGTGGGGTTTTCTTTATGTTTAAAGATGTAGGGATTGATTCATCTCACATAAGTGAGATGTATCCTTTAGGATGAGGTGAATCACAACCTGGTCTCTGCTGGCTTCACCTACACAGACTCTAAGGCAGTGTTAAGTGCTGGTGCTAACATCTCCACTGGAGACATACAACTCAATCAGAGGGTTCTTAGCCTTACTGCTATCCTTCCAGGGTCTTCCTGAGCAGGGAATAAAGGATGGGATACACCAACCAGAGCAGGCAGTACAACTGGAAGATTCTGCAAGCAGAAATCCTTTAAGATCTGCTGATGACCTTCCCCCCAGTTCCTGCAGAGTTACCAGAGAGAGACACCTCCATAAAGGAAGGATTATGAAACTTGAACCTCCTTTGGTGGAAGGTTATTTGTTCACAGGAAGGAGGAGCAGAACTACTGCCTGGTGCCCAAAACCACCCACGTGTTTACCAGTGATCAGAAGAAAGCATTTCTGAAACTGCACACCCACTAATTCAAATCCTGCTTCAGACAGGATGGAAGTTTTGGAAATAATCCAGATGTTTTATCTCACCTCAGCAGGATGGATTCTTTAGAGAGAAACCAAAGGCTTAACAAGTGAGAATTTTTCATCCCTTTCTTATCTTCTGATAGGCTCAGCCTGCAAGCCAAATCTTGAGAATTTAGAAGTGCACCTCCCTGACCAGATTAAATATCCCTTGGGAGTATTAAATCAATCAGACTGGTCCAGGCTTGGGTGCAATGTTACTTATCTATCACAAATCTGGTAAAGTTTTTTTCTTAATTTGCACTTTCTTTTAATTTATATGTGTCACTTAGCACCCTCCCCCTCTGAGAGGGTGAGGATCTGGGTTCACAATTGCAACCAAATAGCCAGACTTAGGCACTGACGTGGTCATGGCACACAGAACTCCTGAATCACTTGGGACTCAAAGTGTACTTGAACTTTGCTTTTCCCTTTTTCTTGCATTATCCACGTTTGCATCTCATCTTCTGCATTGTGGCAAAATTGGGCATCAATCCTGAAGGTCTTAACACACCTTCATCAAAAACATTGTTCTGGCCTAACTTAGTGGGAATCTGCTGAGCACCAAAAACTCAAAGTCCCTCCTTGGTACAAGAAAAGAAGCCCAGAGTTCAGTTTAGGGTAGGTCTCCAACCCAAGGTGAAAGCTGTGGGAGATCTTGACCTCAACCAACAGCAAACACTTTATCTGCTTGCTCCCATTACCTGGAAAATCTTCTTGGCATGATAGTCATCGACCTCAATGTTCACTTCTTTCAGGAAGTCTTTGAGCTCTTTCAAGCTCATCTTGTTGTCTTTGTTTTTATCAGCTTTCCGCAGGCAGGTGTGAATCCAGCTGCAGGATGATGTAAGGAAATCTTTCCAGGTCAGTGCCTAGCCTAAATACCACCCTTCTGCTGCACATGCCAGGGGGGAAATCCTCTTCTGAAGGCTCTGAACCACCCCTCCAGCTGCTGCAAATCAGCACGGTCCCCCTGAACAGCTGAAATCATCTCACCTTCTGCTCCAACAGAGCAGAACGGTGCTTTGGCAGAAGGAAAATGTGCTGTGATACAAGGAATCATGACCTGGGAGAAGCTTTTCACCATCTGGCCAAGGCTGGATCAGCTCTCTTTACCCTGTAGGAGTTTCTGGCCACGGCCAGAAACAGCCTGATTTCTCTTTTATGACAGAAAGTACATTCTGCTCCAGACAGTTAAAAGGGGAGAAAGGAAAGAATGAAAAGAGCTCCCAAGAGGAGCTTGGTAAACTCATTGTTACAGATTTGGTCAATATTCAGTATATCACAGGGAACACTGAACTCCAAAAACAGCAGTAATATTAATTTTTGAACTCACCTTCAGCTTCTCTACGTTTTTAGGGATTTCTACCTATCTGTCCTAAGAACTTTGTTGTGGGGCAGAATTAAGCCAAACTTTGTGGGTCTTGGCTTCCCCTGATGAAAGCACAGTGTCTATTTCTGTGTTGTACTGTGATAATAGCTCATAAGAGCTTGGGTTTCGATCACTTTAGTATATCTACGGATCTGAAGTAATTGCTAGAAAAATGAGCTTTTTAATGTGATGTTGTAATTTAAACTGGGTCTCCCATTTTCTCTCAGTCTCTTGGGAAAATAGTGTTAGAGAGCTGAGATACACCGCAGTCTTAAAACAACAAAAAACATGCTTTTTGCATCATGGAACTGACTGTCTAATTTGCTTTACTGTCAAATAAGAAAGGTCATCCCAAAAAATATCTACTTTTCAGTAGGAAAAATGATCAAAGTAAAAATTTGATCTCCATGAATGTAACCTTCCACATTTTGCATTGCTTCAAACCCATTCTAGAAAAACTTCAAAAAAATGCCCAACCTGAATGTCAATCAGAGTAAAGCTGAGGATTAGCAAATATCAGCAGAGGGATATAGTCCCGTAACATTTTAACTGGGCCTTTCAAAATGACCCCAAAAAAGGGCATCAACAGCCTTAGGGGCTGTAGACAGAACCTGAAACAAAGTTCACCACAGCTTCCACTGCATTCAAATATTTCCTAGCAATGGAGATATGTGTAAACTGTTTGTAAGTATTGTTTGTCTCATGGAAAGTTGAACTTTCTGACTTTAAAAATCTTGGCAGGTGCTAAGCAATGACCTCACCCCGCATCCGTCTTAGCCTGGTAATATTAATACTCCCCTTCTTTAGGCATGGAAACCAAAATAAAGACAGGCTACGTTTTCCCAGCTCCCAGGGACACTCCAGGGCCCTGAACCAGGCTCTGGCTTGGACTGATTCTTCCCAGAAAACCAAGTTTGAGTCATGAAGCTCCCAAGAGCAGAGGATGCTCTGCTGGGAGCACACCACATCCACCCTGGGGTGCAGGACACCCCCTCCACCAGCTGTGCTCCAAAGAGGGTCTGCTCAGACTGGGAACATGGTGCTCTCAGTGGTGCCACCCATTCACATCCAACCCTGCACCTCAGCTCCCCTTCACAGCCTTCCCTAAAAACAACAGGCAGGAGCATGGCCCAACTCCAGCCAGCCAAGAGGAAACCCAGTCTGCCATGGCCAGAGGGGAGCAGCAGGGTGGGATAACACTGACTGTGCATAGAAACTACGCTTTTTGTGCCAACCACTGCAAAAATCCACCTTATTTAAAAAGCCTGCATCACTTCCACTGGTCATGAGCTCAAGGATCATGCACGTACCCAAAGTCCTCTCTGGAAGGCAATATGTGGGCAGTAAATGCATCTGCAGTAGTGTATGCCCAGGTTCCACCTGGGAATGGAGGATGCTTTCCTGTGAGATCCCTTCCCAGGAGGCTGAGAAATGCAGGAAGGAAATCAGAGAGCCCAGGAAGAGCCCAGACACACAGTGGGCCCTCACACTGCAAGGGCAAGCAGCAAAGAGAGAAAAAGGAGAGTACAGACAATTGGGGCTTCAGCCTGTTGTGTCAGCAAGTATTTTTGCAGCATTCTGACCCAAAAACACCCAAACTCCCCATCCATCTGGATCCCCTCAACTTTGGGAGAGCTTAGAGGAGCTGGATCAACTAAGCACTTCAAGTCAAATTCTTCCCATCTGATACAAACAACATTTTTCAGCCCTGGCTGTGGGTCTTTCTTTCACCTTATGTGGGCCTGTGTGGACTAGGAAAAAGCTGCTCCCATTCCTGTATACATCCAGAGTGAACCTGCTTCCTGCCTCTTGTTTTGAAAGGATATGCCAGCTCCAGGGCTACCATTTTTCTTTTAGAAACCAAAGGGGGGGTGACTGAAACTATCTGGCAGATATCCCGTGAATGTGCTCAGAACAGAAAATGCTGCAGAACTTCTGGTAAGTGCTTTCAAACCAGAAGAAAAGCTCATACATAAACCCCAGAACTGGAGCAGACAGTGCCACCCTGCTCAAATGAAAAGTCCTCTGTGTTTTCTGGCCTAAAGCCTTCCCTGCACACATACCTGCAATATTTGCTAAATAACCCATGCCAGCTTGCTGCAGGGTTGAATCTGAGGCTTAATAGAGCATAACTGTCTGTATAAGAACATCAGAAATGCTCACCAAGCATGTGGGAGTGTTATCTGGGCAGGAATGTAGGACTGGAAAGACACATAAGACACTCAATCAAGTCCCTTTCTACCACAGGCAACTCCACTGTATTATAAGCAGAACAATCCCCACCTGAAACTAGCAGGGTTTTTGCTTTCAATACGTGTTTTCAAAAACTTGCACATTCCTTACTTGATTTGCAAGGCTTTGTGAGGCTGGAAAAGACACAGTGCAAGTCAGCTCTCCAGTCATGGGGGACAGGCAGGGGACACAACACTTCCTCTCATCTCCTGACCCTTCCCCTTCTGTGCTCACAGATGCAAAGAACACTTCTGAGGTTTAAGGAAGATCTGAGTAAGCCCACACTGCCAAGCAAACCCGGTGAAGGCAGACTAAATTTAAAATCCCAGGCTTTAATTAAACATCATCAAATTTCAAATGAGAAATCATGCTGTTCTGTAATTCCAGGTTACGTTAAATGGCCTGAGACAATCCCAGATTGGAAGCCAGCACTGCACGGTAATTACTCTTCCAGAAATATGGTTTGCCTACCCACCCTATTTAGCTTCAATTCTGCTTTCCAAAGACAGAGAGGCACTTTTCCATGCTGGAAATTTACTGCCTCCTTCCCTTGCAAATATCATTGTTATTTTTCCCCCCTTAGCAATCTTGTCTCTTCCTATGGGGAAGTTTTTCAGCAATATATTCAACTTGAAGTGCTCCAGGGACAGCTTCATGTTACCCAGACTTTCCCCTACACACTGTGGGGTGGTTGAGGAGTGACCTTACAGCCCAGAGCTTAAAAAAACATCCAAAAAGATGCTCATAGTGCAGGAGATAAACACAGCATCCCATCCCAGGCACATCAGAACTAATGGAGTCTGATTCCTCTAAACAAACAGCACTGTGGTTGTGCAAGTGCTTATTAGACTTTAGAGAATCCACAGAAGGGTAAAGCTTGATCAAAGCTCAGCATTTATGCACCATCTCCTTCACCATCAGTACATTATTACCCAGCAGAGAACCCACATGGGGTGAAGCCTTTACTGAGGGCAAGACTCCCTATTGCCTGCTTATGCTCATACTCCAGCTCTGGGATTTTCCCCAGCTGAGGATTTTGGGTCTCCTCTCCCCTCTGCAGATGCTTTGATGCTGAACAAGCCATGAAGCTCACGCAGCCTTCTCTCACCAAGAGAGAGATCTGCTTTCCTCTCTGATAGCTGGATTCCTATCTTTGGGAAGCTTAAAGGAATTTAATATTTTATGACTGTCTCTGTCAAATCAGGCTGAAACCAGCCAACAGGTTCATATGTCACGGTCAGGGTCTCAGACACACAGGGACTGCAGAAAATCCACCCACAGATATTCTCTCTTTTTACATGTGAGACCCGTGGTCATAAAGCAACTTACTGAGTGAAATGCAGCCCCAGGGAGGATTCCCTGTGAATTCAGCAGAGCCAAGATCTCACCCAATAACTAACTCTCTCCCCATTTCATGAGGAATTCACTCTCCTTTCCTGCTCTGCTCCTTTTCCTTTCCGATCTCTGCACTGTCAACAGAGCAACTGCAAATTTTCTCAGGGTAAAACCTCCTCCCATGCTGAGGCAAATAAGGAGTAATTTCACTGAAGTCAGCAGAGCTACCCCAGAGTAAATTTGGCAGTGAGAAAAATCAGTTCCCTTGCCTTGTATTACCAAGAAACATGATAAACAGTATGGGCTTTTCATGCCTTGCCAAGAGGTGCCTGTCCTGGAGTTCACTGCAATGCAAGTGAAACAGACCCCTGAAGAACACAAAAAGTAATGATTGTTTTATCTGGAGCTCCATGAAAGAGGCAATTCTTTGCTTAAGGAGCTACATTAAGCCTGAATCCACTCTTGCTGGTATCACCGTAAAACAGGAGGAAAAAGCACTGGAAACCAGGGAGTTTGCCTGGGTGCAAAAGTCAGTGTGAGAGAAAACTCAGTGCCCAGGGCCAGCAGGGAAAAAAGGAGGTTAGTCTACTATCTCCACCCACGGGGAAAGACAAGTGCATCTTTGTCTGTGATTAATCATTTTATAAGGCAAAGGATACTGTTGGAGTTTCTGTTTCTGGTTCATGGAGTTGCTGTGGGCTATGATTTTCCCAAGGCCGGAGATCCAGTGGTTGGCATCATCCTCTGAACTCGCAATGAGGTCCAGGTTTTTCCGCTGGTCTTTGAAGATGATGGAAAAGCAGCGATACTCTGGGACATCCTTGGCGTATTTTTCCATACCTTCTGTTTTATGGCCTGACCTCACATCCCGAATATCTTCAATGGAGACTGTGGAAAGAAAGCAGAGCCTGCTGTCAGCAGGGGTTCAGTCAGCCTTATCTCTACTTGGTGAGGGATATTAAGGAATTACTCTTTCTCCTTTTCCTGAAGCCTCTGGAGGGTTCTCTTCCCATTCCTCCCTTCCCCAAACTTTGGTACTAAAGAAAGCTCAAATCAAAAGGACCAGAAAGAGCAAGAGATTTTAAAAAGGAAAACTCTTTCCCCATGTTCTTTACTTAACAAAGAAGCAGAATATGCACAATACTGTGATATCCTGCTTGTGAGATACAAATCACTGCCAAGAGTTTGGTTCCAAGTCTTTGGAGCTTCCCTGACTTGAGCATCCCTTGACTCATCACCCATAAGAATGGGGAGAGTGGGGATGTGCCTTCCTGTGAACATCACCCCACAGGAAAATTCTGTAATCACAGAATGGTTGGTGTTGGAAGGGACCTTAAAAATCATCTTGTTCCAAGCCCCCTGCCACGGGCAGGGACACCTTCCACTAAACCAGGTTACACAGAGCCCTGTCCAACCTGGCCTTGGATACTTCCAGGGATGGAGAGTCCAAAACCTCTCTGGGCAAAATGAGAGGTGACTTCAGTAAGATGACAGCAGGGACCAAAACAGTCTTTCTTTAGGTTGCAAAAAAAAATGAGAAGGTAAAATTTAAAATCCCATCTATTCTTCTCAGACATCCTAGTGCAAATTAGGGAGACAAAGACCAAAGCTTCTGAGCAGTCTGGTGTCACTCATACTCCATCCTTGGTCCTGTCAAGGGCAGACTTAGTCCTCCTTGCTGTAAGAAAGGAAAACACTGTTTTCCACATCATCTTTCCCCCCATTCCCATCTGGGCCACTCAGTTGGTGGAAATGAGCCCTGAAGTTGCACCAGGTTTGCAAAATGCACACACAAGGCAATCCAGAAGGAGCAGTTTACTAAGAGACTATTTTATTCAACAAACGTAAGTAATGCAGACACCCCCACATTGCCCCGAGAGCATTCAGGTGCCCTCAAACTGGGTTATAATCAGGCAAGCTCCTGACAGCAACCACAGCCTCTTTTTGTTCTTCATGGTCCACTTAATACACACACAAAGCCCTGGCACAGGTTGCCCAGAGAAGCTGTGGCTGCCCCATCCCTGGAAGTGTTCAAGGCCAGGTTGGACAGGGCTTGGAGCAACCTGGGCTAGTGGAAGGTGTCCCTGCCCACGGCAGGGGGGTGGAACTGGATGGTCTTTAAGGTCCCTTCCCACCCAAACCATTTTAGGATTCTCTGATTCCATGAAAGGGCTGAGAGGAAAGGACAGAAACTTCTTAACCACACAGAAACTTAACGTTGAAGTAGGGATGGCACCTACACACAAAAAATGGCAAAAATGTTTGCAAAGTGCTGGATTTCACAACCAAAAAAATCTCACGGCATTTTCTTTGGTAGAAGACAGACTAGGTACATTTTCCAAACATCTACCAATACCTGGGCACACCTAGAAAAAACAACACACCTGAGAGATATTCAGCCTATAACAAGCTTGCAAAAAAACCAGACACAATCACGGGAAATGGGAAAAAAAGTGCTTAGCTTCTACTCTGCCTCAAATTGTAAAGTACAGTTAAAAATTATTTCCTCTGTCAGAGTTGTGTGAGAACAATTTTATTTGAGCTTATCTTGAAGGAGCTTTGTTGAAAAGCAGTGTGTGAGTGTAAAATATCTCCACGGTTTAGCTGAATAGGAAAAACTTGCCTTTAAACAGCCATTTCACCATTAAAATACCCAGTTCATTCAAATTCAACACTGCAGAAAAACCCAGCTCAGTATCAACACTGCACGTTTTTAGCATGGCTGCCCTGGGATCATCCACAATTCATCAGATGCTCACTAGAGTTTGAAAACTCTTTTTTTTCCCCAGAGCAGTCATGATAATGCTCAGCTGCTGGGGAAAAAGAAAAAAAAAGAAAAACCCCAAAATTTCAGTCTTCAAAAATCACTGACTTCCCAAAACCAACACTTCACATTCGCTTCAAATCCTCACCAGATGTTGGGGTGGTCAAACATCTGCCACAGCACTTTGCTGGTTTGGTTCCTATGGAAGAACACACCACGAGGAGCTTCCTAGAGCTGGCAAAGCTCCTCCCTGACAATTATGAGCCATTATCTTTGTGTGGTCTTTGATTATCACTTGGTAAAGGGCAACAGTTGAGCAGCTGAGGGGAGGGGAGGGGAGGAAAAGGTTGGGTTGGGATGGGCTGCTGTGGAATTGTGTTATCTGGCCAATTTACCTTTGAGCAAAAGTTTGAGTACTAAAGCCTGGTGATTTTGCCCTTTAACTGGGACATTGACCAAACGATAGTGGCTGTGCCTCGGGTGGAACTTCACCCTTAACACAAAGCATGCTATCACATTTGGACAGATTCTGTTCAGGCAAAAAGTCTAAAGTTTAGTTGGATCCTTTTATAGCCAATAGGGGGGAAAAAAAGGAGATTTTGGAACGTAAATGTTCTGTCCTATTTAAACAAAAACTTCAGAGTAAGATAAATTACACCCTTAATCAATGGCTACAGAGGACCCTTGATCAGAAACGAAGTCCAGGCTGAGCATCCCAGATGCAGAAGTGTCCATAAACAAGTGATTCTCCTCCACTCTGGGTCTTTTCTGCTTATGGCAGTGCAAGTGGAAGGATCATCCTGTTATTCCTCATCACCTGCCAACTGCTCACCACTGCTTGGCTCATAAGAGTTATTGTCCTTCAGAATGGCTAGTTAGTCTGCTTGTGCAATCAATCCCTAAACTTTGGGTTGGCAACAACCTCATGTTTCCAAAACTAGAAAATCTGATGTTAAATATTGGAAATTTAGGAGGGATTCTTTGGAAACCATTACATGGCTTTGTGACTCCACTGGAAAAGAGAGCTGTGTGGGAGGAAAAAAAGATTGAAAACCTGTGTCTGGAAGGGCTGCCTTGATCTCTATGAGGTGTGTTGAGAAGAGGATGATGGAGATAACAGAGTTCCTCAATGCAGAAAAGGTACAAGGAAGGCTGAAGAGCAGTATTGGTGTCTACCGTAGTCACACGAGACAAGGGGAGAAACTACCAACACAGGAACTGTTAAAAAAGCAGGGTAGGGGGGGGACACTTTTTAAAGCTTTCCATAGCTTGGTTGTGTGTTTTCATCTATCAATAAAAAAGCTGAAGCCAAAGGAGTCGGCCCAAGCCATCTGCAAAAGTTATCTCTTTTCTGGAAAATCTTAACCCAGCATGAGTATTTTATCAGCTGCTCCCAGACAGCCAGTGCACTGCATTAGCAGTCCCAAACTAACTGAGCTATCTGCAAGGAGAAATCAAAAATAACTGGGGGACAGACACGTTTCACAGCAGAGGAACACTCACAGCAAATGCCCATCAATCACGTATCCCTGCAACCTCCCTGCTCCTTCCCCACCACGCCACAGCGGGGAGATAACCACAAGCAGAAGAGAATCTGGAAAGTTTGCATCCACTTCTCCCGAGTGTTTACGTCTGCTGAAGAGGTGGTTTGTATGAAGCCCAAAACATGACGCACCGCCCAAGGAAGCTCGTGTTCTTCCTGGCCTCCAGACACAGAGTCACACAGGTTACGTCCTGGTCAGCCTTCCTGGCTGCTGTGGGTGCAGCCCGGACAGTGCCACAGCTGAAGGCTCCCCACTGACATGGGCACACAGCAGCATTCTCTGGAGCCAGTGAAATTCCTCCTGTCTGAACCACTCTCAGGGAGATTTTGGGAACTTTCTTTTTAACCCTCCTTTCAATTTTCATCACCGGATCCTGCCCTTGTGCTTCCCCCCTGCTAATTCTCAGCCCAGTGCCCTTCTCCTGTTTCACCCATGGCATCAGCAGGCAGGGATGGGTCAGGCCTGCAGGATCCATGAGGCCAGTTTTGACAGTAAGGATGTTTTCAGGCAACTAAAATGTATCCTTTGGGCATCTCTTTTGATATGGATTTCTCTCTTCATAGCTTTCAGGGAGCTTGCTGTTACACTTGCAACCTAATCTCCTCATGCAGAAGGAACACCTCCCAGAGGAAATCAACTGGATGATCTTTAAGGTTCCTCCCAACCCAAGCCATTCTATGATTCCAGTGTACAAGTGTTGAAGATCCAGAACAACCCTGAGAAGGTTCCTAATGATGAGAGAAATTGTCTGAGAGATGAGCCCTGGCCTCTCAATCTCTTCTCCCATCATTGTTCCACAAGTGAAATGTCCAGACTGTGCTGGGAGCATGGACAGTAAACTCTTTGGTAATCCTAAAGAATACAGGGAAAGGAGAAACAGAGGCAGAGAGCAATCCCTTTTTTTTCCTCCTTTTTGACAGGCAGCCCTTTGAGAGGAGATATTTTGTCAGGAATCTTTTTCAAGAGAGAGAATAAGAAAGTGAACTCACATCTGCAAGCATGTGAAGGGCAAGGGCCAACAGGTGCTTCTCTTTTCTTGTGCCTTTGCTGATAAAGAGGGAGAGGAGGGTCACTGTGCAGACACTTGGGAAGCACTGCCAAAACAGCTGTTTCACTGGGGGAGGGGGGCAGCTTTTCACTCTGGGGGTAATACTCCTCAAATCCTTTCCTTATCCTGCCCCCCCCCCCGTCATTAGTAAGTGATCCCTGCAATGTGGCGTTCAGTCACATCGAATTACTCCATCCCACTCTAATTGTCCCCGTAAGTCACTCCTGTTTACTGTCAGGAAACGCAGATGAGAAACGTGCCCAGCCGCTAACAGCTTGCACAGCATCCTGCGTGTCTGCGGAGAGCTCGGGCCCTCACCAGCTGCACCGCGGCCAGGAGGGCTCAGCATCTTGTCAGGAACAGATGAGAGCTGCTGCCTGCCCCCGGCACTGCCCCACAGAGACACGGCATGGATTTCACAGCACGCTGAGCACACGGGGCGAGCCGGCACCTCGTGCTGCTCCTCGCTTTGGTTTCACCCCAGCAAGAGCCGCTCGGTTGATCTCGGTTTCCCCCCCAGGGGACTGATGCT